ATCCGTTGGTCAGGGGGCAGGGGGAGGGGGAGACAAAGCCAGTGCAGATGATTGCTGACAGCGGAAGAGCAGGGTGCGATAGAGAAAGAGTGGAAGGGAGGCTGCTGCAGTCACAGTTACACGTACAGTCAAGTGCACACTCCCTCTCTCACATCATCTCCAACTGCAACAAGTTGGCATTTCTCCAGATGATCGGACAAGTTGCAATATTCCTCGATCGCCTCTCCCCCCTTGAGATAATACCATTTCTGGAGCTTCAGTTGTCTCGTGTTTATTGCATAACCATTTAACAGTTTTGCTCGGATTTGGTTTATTTGCAATTTGCATTTTTACTTTTAGCAAAATAGAACCAGCAGCAGCAAAACAGAAGCAACAACAATGTTATTGTTTCTCAAGGTCACATACACACACACACACACACATAGAGATGAACGACACCGTCAGCGCCCTCACCCGCGCACTTCCTCCCCCATCATTCAACCCACACCTTACGGACGATGTCCATCAGGTTTGGAGGTTCGGTTCAGTTCGGTTTGGTACGATTCTGTTGTTCCGTTCGTTCTCTCTATCTTTCTCATAAACAACAACATTTTTGCCGGGAGCGAGACACAAGCGAGCTAAGAACTTGCTATCTCACACACAACACACACATAGAAACCGAACCCCCATCTGCATTGGAACACAGATTTTTGTATAGCAGTATGTGTGCATCTGTATGTTCAAGTTGTGTGTCTGGGGGAGGCAGGAGGATACCGTTATGCATTACATCTACCTCTGTCCCTCTCTCTCTCTCTCTCTCTCTGAGAGCGCATGTGTGCGTCAGTCAGTGTGTCTCTGTGCCACATTTCAGGGTCAGGGAAATTCGATTTTTGTGTGCCTTGCCTTGCTCTTCCTCATCCTCTTTTGGTTTTCATTGAGAGGGAGGGTGCCACATGGGCAATGGAAAGCAAACAAGAGAACAAACGCAACGATTTGTCCGAGAACCACAACGAAGCTGCTAATACACTTTTGATTTTTCGACTTGAAGCTAATTGTAATTAAAAGATAAAATTCAACATACATATGTAAACATATTTCTAAGGCAGAAGACATTATTTGTAGGCTTGATCCTGCGTATGGAAATTCTCCCAATGGGGCGGAAACGAATGAACTAGGAATGTCTCTAATAGCACAAATTCTAACCAACAATGGCTGTTATCTATGTAGATTCAATGTTAAGTTCATTAACATTATAAAATATGGGCGTGCATGTGGTCACGCCCATTTCCCCACTTGTGGTTTGTAATCCGTTATTTCTATTTCTATATTCAGACGATAATGAACGGTTATCTTTCACCACAGCAAGCACTAGTAGGGAAGGGGGGGGGGGGTGAAGCTGCGATAGGAAAGGGAAAGAGAGAAAAAAAGAGTGTGGCGCACTTACCTCACACACACACGAACCGGTAAATATCCTTCCTCTCTCTGTGTCTTATCTTCTCTCGCTGTCTCTCATCTCCTCTTGCTGCTCTTAATCCTACACGTGGGTGTGGGCTGCTCGTCGTGTGTGGGCGTCCGCTGCTGACGCACAATGCTGCCAAATGCAGTTCCTCTTCCTTTGCCTGTTACATACGAATGTGTGGGTGGGTGGTTGGATGCCAATTGCAGATCCTAGCGCTTCAGCACATTGATGAATGTCTCGTGGGGCACACGAATGTTGGCAAAGAGACGCATTTTCTTTTTACCCTCGGACTGCTGTCGCAAGAGCTTCATGCGGCGCGTCACATCGCCGCCGTAGAGCTTGGCAGTGACATCCTTGCGGTAGGCTTTGATGGTCTCGCGCGCGAGCACCTTGCTGCCGACACACGCCTGAATCGCAATCTGTACCATCTGCTTGGGTATGAGATCCTTGAGCTTGTGCACCATATGCCGGGCCACGCCGGTGGCCTTCGAACTGTGCACAATGCGGCAAAGCTCGTCGACGGGCCGCCCATTCAGGTGAATGTCGAGACGCACCAGATGGGTGAGATGGTACCCGTTGTCCTCGTAGCTGAAGCTGGCGTACCCGGAGCTGATCGACTTGAGGCGATCGTGGAAATCCAGTATGATTTCGCTCAGCGGCAGAACGTACTTCATCAGAATACGCGCCTCATCAATGTTCACCGAACTCTGCTGCAGTCCCCGTCTCTCCACACACAGGCCGATAATCTGGCCAACGTAATCGGTGGGCGTGATGATGGTGCCCATGACCAGGGGCTCGTAGTACTCCCGGATGCTGCTCGGATCGGGGAAGAGTGCCGCATTCGAAATGTCCATGGTGTCCGTGCCCTGCTGACGGATCATTTTGGGGTTGCCCAACACTAGACGGTACGTAACCGACGGTGCCGTTATAATGGGCTCCGCGCCATGCTCCTGTTCTAGCCGCTGGCAGAAGACCTCCATGTGCAGCAGGCCGAGAAAGCCCAGTCGCCAGCCCTGTCCCAGTGCCGGACTCGAGTCCACCTTAACGGTGACCGCTGAGTCATTTAGCACCATCTTCTCAATGGCACTGCGCAGGGCCACGTGCTTGGACTGATCCACGGGGAAGACGCCGGCGAAGACAAGTGGTTGCTGGGGCTGGTAGCTGCCGGCGGCGCTGGCCGACTGGTTCTTCAGGTGGATGGTGTCCCCAATAATGGACTCCTTGCTGTTGCGCATGTTGCAGGCGATGAGCCCCACCTGGCCGGCGGAGAGGCTGGCCACACTGCACTCGACCGGACGCAGCACCGAGATGCTCTTCACGGGATAACTCTTCTTGGTGGCCAACGACTGAATGTCCTGGCCCTGCTCCAGCTGCCCGTTGAGCACATATATGAGGTTGAGTGCTCCGCGGTACTTGTCGAACCAGCTGTCAAAGATCAGGGCACGAAACGCACTTTTCCGATCCACTGTGGGCGCAGGTATCAGCTCGATAACTCGCTCCAGCACCTGGGCAACACCCGTGCCCAGTTTGGCGGAGACTTTGAGCACCTCGGCGGGATCGATGCCGAATAACAGCTGCAGGTCGTGGCACACCTGCTCGGGATTGGCATGCTTGATGTCGATCTTGTTGAGCACCGGCACCACAGTCAAATTCCGCTGCTTGGCCAGATGATAGTTTGCCACGGTTTGGGCCTGGACGCCGTGGCATGCGTCAACCAGCAGGATGACTCCATCGCAGGCTGCCAGCGAGCGGGAAACCTACAAAGGAAGGATGGAAATGATTAACGATTCAGACAAAAAGCCGCCTGGGTGCCTGCTAACCCACCTCATTGGAGAAGTCCACGTGGCCGGGCGTGTCTATCAGATTCAGAAGGTACAGCTCGTCCTTGTATTTGTAGTAGATGGAGGCCGTTTGAGCCTTCACTGTGATGCCGCGCTCCCGCTCCACTTGGAGGCTGTCCAGCACCTGATGCTGGCCGGCGTTCTTTGAAATGGCCCCCGTCAGCTCCAGCAAACGATCGGCCAGGGTGCTCTTGCCGTGATCCACATGGGCAATAATGCTGAAATTGCGTATACGCTCCACCGGAATTTTGGCAAAGTCCCTCAAGAGCGCATCTTGAGACAGCTCCGATACCGAGCCCGAACCCGAGCCAGACTCTGATGCTGCCGTCGCGTCCTTGACCTGATTTGTTGTGGATAGGCCCTTGCGCCAGCTGCAGGCTGCTTGCCATGGCCAAAGTACGGCGCCCTTGCACCGACTGGCTGGATGGGAATGGACAATGCCCACCGCTTGGATAAGGGACCAGCGGATTGAAAGAGTCTTGTGCATTTTTTCTCTACATTCACATTTTTTTTCGCCCGGCAATTGTTACCGCACAACATGTGCGCAGTGCAGTGTGACCAGTGTGAGGGCGTATTTATCGATTAAATATACCGCAATATACTAAATTACGACGTCAAAATAACTCGAAAAATAATTTATATACCAGCGGCCGCCATATCTGTAAAAGCTTAAAATTCTTAATTTAACGTAATTTTTTGAAACCAAAAAGCTTTAGCAGCAAGCAAGTGCCATAATATTGAGACAAGAGACAGTAAGCAGAGCAGATCTAAGCTCTAACAAGAGGAAATAACAGTGCAGTCAACTGGCATGAGAGTAAGTCTTAGCGGTAAATTGTGATTAATTTTCCTTCCACATTCCAGTGACAAATAAGTCCCTAATTAATGGACACAATAGATAAGAATTTTGAAAGAGAAACCCCGTTGGAATGCTCACAAAAAACTGCTGCCAAAAGTACACTTTTGATGGTTTTTTTTTTTTATTTTGTAAGATGTTCCGTTTAGTGTGGAAAGCCCCTTGTAGAGAATATAAGTGTAGTCATAGCGAATAAAGTTGTTTTTTTTTTGGATAAAATAGTTCACATATAATTATAAAAATAAGAGATTTCACATTTTGGTTTTCACTTTCGAGAGTGCACGTGACCCACGTGCCACCCTGACTCGTGCTTCGAATTGGCGCTCGCAACTATGGTTCGGTGTCCATTCTCCATGCCACCTAGGAGGGGGATCAATCACTTTAAAGAGCTTCAAGTGCTTTAAAGATCAACGTTTTGAGCAGTCAAATTGTGCATAGGATGCAGGCGACAGGGTGCTGAACAGGGTGCCATAGCTCGAACACCAAAACGAAGGACGAACAACAGCTGTAACCTAAATAAAAAAACGATTAATACGGAAGATCAGAGCGGCTATAAAGACGATACAAAATGTGTGTCGAGTAACATACAATAAAATTGGATGATGAGGGGGCAGGGTATACTATAACTTAATCTAAATGCAAATACAGTGTGCAATAATCCATGGTTAATATCGACAAAGTCATGTCTAAATACATAGTAGGAATACAGTTAATTCATGTTCGACTTTTAGGAGTGTTTGTTTGTTTGTGTTCGTGTGTGTGTGTGTGTGATATGAAGAGAACTTTTGCGGCCATTTTGTGTACGCGTTTTGATGACAATTTTTGTGGGTAAACAAGTACATCGCTCGCTCGCGTGTGGTTTTGTGTGTGTGTGTGTTTATATAACTATGTACTATATATATATTGATATTCATTGTACATACAAATATGTAATGTATATGATGAATGCAAAAAATTAATACAAAATACTTTTAGCGCCATTCGTTTTACAGTTGAGAATATATAGTCAAGCGCGAGCGCAACTTAATTAAATCTGCGTACAAAATATATATATATATATATATATGCTTTTTTGTTGTGTATAAACTAAACGATTGCACATTGGCGTGCAATTCGCTGCTTGATTTTTAAGATGTAGGTGCGTAAGTGTAGGTGTTGGAAAACGCTTCAATGCTGCGCTTGCATGCGCGCCTGCATTTGTGCAAGCATTTCCGTCATGCGTGCCAGCTCCGCCTCCTTCTCCTGCAGTATGCGGTCCTTCTCCGAGAGCGCATTATTGGCCTGTGCCTGAGCATTCACATTGTTGTCACGCTCCTGCTTGATGCCATTCTCCTTGACCTTAATGCCTTTGGCCAGGCGATCGGAGCGATAATTCTCATAGTGCACCTCTTGCGTTACCTCCTGCAGGTCCTGCATGTGGGTGCTGGCAGAAAGAACACACACAAAAAATTGTAGGGAGCAGCGCCAACTAAAACTTAAACTGAAACTCACATCAGCATTGTGCGCAGCTTTATGAAATCACAATGATCGGGATTCTCGACCTCCACCACACCCCAGGGATAGAGACGGCCGCGCACCTTTTTGCCCTTGACCTCGAGTAGTGTATTGGCGCCGCAGACGGCAAAAGGCACAGCTTCCTTCAGTTGCTTCACTTGCTCCTTGTAGTCTTCATCCTCATCGGAATCACAGTCTGGCAGTGGATAAATCTTGATGCCATGGCCCTCAATCTCCTGCATAATGCGGCACTTGAGCCGCAATATCTCCTTTTTGGTGAGGCAATCGGCTTTGGCAATAACGGGCACAATATTCACCTTGGAGTGAAGCTTCTTCATGAACTCCACATCCAATGGCTTCAGGCTACAAAGAGCAGCTTTAGGAATGCTCACAGGGGAGTGCGTAAGTGTAAGTGTAAGCTTACCCGTGCCCAAAGGGCGATATAAAGTAGAAGCAACAGTGTATGCGATTGTCCACAATGTTGCGACGATTGAGGCCGCTTTCGTCGCGCAGGAAGCGCTCGTACTGCTCATCGATGTACTCGAGTATGGCGCTGAAGCTGTTGGAATTGTCAATGGCGTCACCAAAGCCGGGTGTGTCGACAACAGTGAGTCGCAGCTTGACACCACGCTCCTCGATTTCCACCGTCGATGCCTCCAGCTTGACTGTTTGCTTTTGTTTCTCTGCAAGGGAGAGAGTGTCAGCAGAGAACAAAGACTTGCTGGGGTGGAGCTTAACACCTACCTATGGCATCGGGTATGATGCGTTCCGGGTATAGATCCGTCAGAAATAAACTATTGACCAGCGTGGACTTGCCCAAACCGGACTCACCCACCACCATCAGCGTGAACTCGAAGCCCTTTTTGACCGACTTGCGATGCACTTGATTGGGCAGATTGGCAAAGCCCACATAGCCGGGCGTCTCGATGCTGGAAAACTGCAACAAACCAACGAACAAATAACACCAAAAGATGAGTCTTCAGACATTGTGGAATTTTGCGCATAGAAAGCGCTGATGGCGTCGCTTTTCAATTGCTTTAAATGCTTGTCACGCACGATAACGAAACTACGAAATTTCTCTTGCTTCAATCGACATATTTATGTACATATGTGCATATGTATGTATGCTGGGCTGGGCAAAGAAGCAACGAAATGCTAGCGTTACCGACGGCCATTGCCAGTTCTCCTTTCTGAATATGGGTCAGAGGCGGGACATTCGGCGAGATCTGCAAGCGCAAACAAAGAAAGAATGCCGATAGCGACGCGAACGCCGTCACCGACACCGACACCGACACCGGCATGTGTTGTGTGTGAATCACTTGACTTGCACTGCGCAAACGAAGGAAGAACGAAGGAGGAAGCAGCGGCATCGGCATCGGCATCGGCATGGGGATGCATTTTGGACAACACCCACACACACTGCATCTGCATGGAAATGCTTTAAATGGATTGATTTTCTGCAGCGATCACTTCACTGGCTAATCAAAATTGTATATCTAATTATCGAGGCTACTCACGCCCTTTGTATCAGCCATTTTAACAACAACAAAAAAAAAACACGAAACGAACGAACACAATGCAAAATGGTAATTGGAGCGCCAGCAGTGTGACCGCGGATTTATCGATAGGCTATGCTGCCTGACCCTCAGAAATATACCGAAATGAATGTACCATAAATATACCGATGGGCTTTTTGGCTGTATAATTTTAATATTCGATCATTTTTGTTTTCTCAACTGAAGTTTTATGAATTTATAGTGTTTTTTTTAACAAAGGTTGCGCATAGGGGAAAAGGTTGGGCCCCTTTCGAACGCATCCTCTAACTATCGAGTCGCTAGTCTTCTGGCAAGGGCTGCATCGTCGACAGCACCCACCGATAGTATCGATGCGTAGGTGAACGTTTTTTTAAATTGCAAATTTTAAACGGCCAACAAATGGTGATTTTAATGTGTCTACGTAAAGCAATTCAATGGGTCGTCATATTCTCAGCCAGTTTTGTGAAATATATATTCCTGGGAAATTTCTTCAATGAGTCCGTTAAAGCCACCAAAGGCCATGGCCCACAGAAAGTTTATAGGAAATTGTATAAAAAAATGTGAATTACTTTGAAGCATTCCCGTTTTATGTTTGATCAGATGGGATATGTATCCTATATCCATCTATACATATATATATATATATATTTCTTTCCTTTGGGTTTTGGTATTTTTTGTTGTATGTGTGTGTGGTACGTAATACGTTTACAAAACATCGACTAGAGCGGAGACGAATGGAAATCAAGAACATACATAAGTACACATCGAGAGAACATCGAAAGGAATCATCATCATTAATCGTTCGTTATCTTTAACCAGTGCTCCAGGCATAATCCCCCCACCCATCCGTTTATGCGTTCGATTCATTCATTAATTTTTCATGCGCGCAATCCTTAGGTGATCAGGCGCGGTGCATGCAGCCCGTGCACATTTTCAATTGGTGGACAGTGCGTGGCTCCAGGCGGTCCCCAGTCGTGCAGGCCCCGCGAGTTGGCCAGCCGATGCGTGAGACGATGAGCGATGCTAAAGCCGCCGCTGCCCTCCAGCTGGGTTAGCACAATAATCACTTGCCTGCCAGGGGAAAGGGAAAGATGTTAAAGGAGAAAGGCTGACAACAACTGAAGCTCTACCTTTGTAGCGGCGGCACCGAGTCCACGGTCTTGAGCTCGCCTCGTGTGGACACCACATTGTAGCTCTCCTGGCAGTCGCACTTGACATGAATCCACTTGTTCTCGTGCCGATTCTCAACCATCACAACCAGACCCGCCCAGCCCTGCATACAAAAAAAAAAACAAATCATTCTCAACATGTACGGGGGCGGAAAAGGGGGGGAAAAAACTTGCCTTGGTGAGGTAATAGGCGGTCATACCCTCGCGTCCCTCGTGCCGTTGGCCCTTGGTCAGCGTCAGACTGATGATGGCGTCGGCCAGGAGATGCGGCGAGGGTATTATCTGCTCCACAAGCAGACGCTTTGAGCTGTGGATGGCGAGGATGCACTGCGGATACTGATGCGGATCCTCGATGCCAGTGTGCCAGTGATTGAAGGCGAGGCAAACCAGCAAGTAGATGTCACGCTCCAGCATCTTGTGGCAGCCCACAAAGCCGCGCACCTGCAAAGGATCAAACCGGTTCAGACTGGAGGAGAGCTCGGGTCAACAAGGACCAAGGCGCTCACCTGCCGCTTGCTGTGCTCCACGAGACGCCCAATTTCGGGTGCCGCCGGCGAGCGGGTGCGGAATATCACAACACAGAGATCCAACTGGGAGCGCTGTGACTTCTCGGAATTGCGCTGACCCTCCTGGAAGAGCGTAAATTCCGCCTCGGTGGGTTCCAGCACGGTGAGCAGCACACAGGAGATGGAGCACAGGGGCTGCAGTGTGCCCTGCAGGCGGACCTCATTCCAGCCGGAACGCACCTTGCAGATATCGATGCAGTCGAAATAGTTGAGCACATCCTCGAAGGAGATCCAGAAGACGCCCTCGGAGGCGCCGTGCGGCATCAGGGCGTCCCGCAGGTCGTCCGTCCACAGCGAGGAGTCATCCGACCAGTCGCCACGCCACGAATAGTGGCCCCAGGGATTGCGCAGCTTCAGCAGCCGATGCCCCTGTATATCCTTCACGTCCAGCACGGAGTAGGCGTGCCGGGGACGCAGTCCCTTGTGCTGATACTCCTCCTCGTCGACCTTCATGTTGCCGCCGCCGCAGCTGGCGCCCATGAGGAAGCGCACGCAGCGCGAGCTCAAGAGTTGCGCCCAAATCAGATCCTTGTCCAGCTCATCCTCGCTGGGCATGGGCAGGGAGCTGGCCTGCAGCGGTATGCTCTCACAGGGAGCGCCCGTCAGCGTGGCCAAGCCCTCGATGGCACGGCCGGAGACGAGCGCCTCGTAGCAGCCATGAATCTTGGCCACCGCCTTCTCGATCAGCGGCACCCAGAGCTGCTTCCGCTTCGCCTGCGAGTAGACCAAATGGCCGCGCTTGTCGCACGGCAGCAGATCATCCACCAGCACCGTGGTCCACTTGCCATCCTTGCAGAGGCGCACCTGGTAGGCGCCCTGTGCGCATATCTCCTTGGTCACGAGCACCTCCTTCACCAGATCCTCCCGTTCCGCCAGCACGGCCAATGCGCTGAGCAGCCAGCAGTTGCCCAGCACACCCTGGCAGATGTCCGACGGCAGGGGCGTGCGAAACACAGCCCACGGTGGATACGCGCCGCCATCGCAATTGATTTCGTGCGGGCGACGCCACTGCACCACGGGATTGCCCTCGGTGGCGCTGCTCGCCGGATTGTAGTAGAGACTCTTGGGCGCTGGCGGAAACGAATCGTCCACGAAGAGCTCATTGTTGTCGCGGCAGTACTGAATGATATTCTGCCACTTGGTCAGTGCCTCGGTCTCCTCCAGCTGGCGCAGATTCTCCATCAGCTTGCTCTCCTGCCTGATGTCGGTGAGGGCCACGCGTATGGACTTTCTGGACAGGGCATCCCCAATGACAGCGTTCACCAGTCCGCGCGGACTCGAGCAGATGTCGCAGACCACGGAGGCGGCGCAGTTCTCGTACGTGCAGGCCGGACACTGCCACTTCTTGGCGCCAGCGGCTGCTGGCGCTCCCTGCTGCTGTATGTTGTAGGCCGAAGTGCCGGCCGCCAGTCCGGCAATGGAAATGTTACGTGGGACAATGGAGCCGCCGGTGCTGTGTCTTTTTGGTATGGCACCCGAGGAGCTTCTCACTGGCTGCATCTGCGATTGCTGCTGTTTTTGCTGCTGCTGCTGCTGCTGTTGTGCCATGGGCGATGGACTGCGCGAGCCACGATGCACCACAGCTGCGGGCAACTGCAGCATGGGCATGGGCATGGCCATGGGCATGGACAGTGGCATTGGCATGGGCATAGACATGATTGTGGGCGTCTTCGCCTCATTGCCAGCACTGCCTGCTGGTAGATGCTGCCCAGCAGCAGTGGCAGCGGCTGCGGCTGCGGCAGCGTCTTGCTCCTCATACGACTGACCGTCGGGACGCTCGCGCACCGTTTCGACCGGCAGCAGGCGTATCGACTTGCAGGCACTGCACATGCCATAATGCAGGGAATTCTTTAAGGTGCAATGGCTGCAGGTCCAGAACTCGCCCTTGCGCAGCGTCATGTCTTCGATGGAGGAGATGCTCTTCAGCTTGGAGCCGCCACAGACAATGCAGGCCATGGCCGTCGAGTAGTTGACCAGCGTACACTTTTTGCAGGTCCACGGTTCATCGCGATGCGTTGGTGTCTCTGCAAGACAATTTATTAACACAAATTCGGGGGAGAGTTCTGTGGCGTTTACCCACCTGCCTGCTGCTGTTGCTGCTGCTGTTGCTGTTGATGCTGCTGCTCCAGCTTGGCCTCGCACATCTCGCAGGACTGCAGCCAGAGACGATTGTAGGCGTAGGAACATTTGATGCATGTCCACATCTTGCTGCGACTGCTGTGAGCAGCCAACACCAGCAGCGGTTTATTGTCGTTGCGTTGGCCGACAGTCGCTGCTGAGCTTGAGCTTGAGCTTGGGGCAGCGCTAAGACGTGGTTCATGCGTGCTGCAAGCACACACAGAGGCAGAAAAGCAATTTAATAAACAGCACAATTGGCAACAATAGTAATAAGAAATTAAATAAAATAAACTGTGAAATAGAAGCTGCAAAATGAGCAACTGAAACCGCAACAGAAAAAGGTGAACCAACAATCAATAACGAAAAAAGATAAAGCCAAAACGACAGTGGGCACCCGCGCAAGTGGACAAGCTTTGGCTTAACATTTGTGCTACATCCAAGTGGGGAAGTGCTCACTGTGTGGCCGGTCTGTGACTCAGCGTCACGGCAGAAAGCAAAACATAATCAGCGGAAAACCAAAACAGAAATTGATAAGCGCACAGGAGCACAGTGCCCTGGCCGGGGGGGGGGTTTACATTTACATTTTCGATTCTGTTGCCTTGCGTGGTCCCTTCCAAACCTTGGCATAAATGGAATGCTCTTCGACATGCAGCTCCGGCTGTGTGCTGCTCGATTCTGTTTCGCTTGCCTCGCCGCTGCCATCGGTGCTGGCACCGAGGCAACCAAATCCTGTCACAGCTTCGCTGCCACTGCTGTTGTCCGCTGCTGCCGCCTCAACGCTGTTCAGGCCATTGTTGTTGCCCAGAGCTTCCTGCTGCTGCTGCTGCTGCTGTTTCTTTTTGAGCTTGTGCTGCTTGTTCACCTGTGCGTAGATGGGCATTGCCGGCAGCGGCTGCTCAGCTGCAGCCACAGGTGAGCTAATCTCGGGCACAGCCACGGCGGTTGCTGCTATCTGTGCTGCCTGTGCCGCGGTTGCTCTCAGCTGCTGCTGCTGGGCCAAGGCCACGCAATCGTTCTCGTATAGCTGCTGTTGCTCCTTGTTGTTGTTTTTGTTGCTATTGCTGCTATTGTTGTTATTGTTATTGTGCTGCTGCTGCTGTTGCTGCTGCTGCTGCTGAGTGCGCTTTCCACTGGCCACATTGCTGCTGGTTGTCGGCTCTGACCACTCATTGACCGCTATGAAGACTCCATTCCTCGGTATGGTGAACTGTGTTGGATTCATACTCACTGCTGCTGGCTCACGCTGTGCACTCGCTTGCTGTTGCTTCGTCGTCGGCTGCTGCTGGTGCTGCTGCTGCAGGAGTTGCTGTCGCAGCGGCTTGGCTATCGCCTTGGGCACCTCCTTGGCCGCTGATCTCGACAGCGTTGTGATCGTAAAATTATATTTCTTTTTGGCGCAACTTTCGCGCACAACTTTGTTTTGGTTCTTGTTATTGTTGTTCTGCTTGCGGCGACAGAATGTATCATTGGCAATGGCGAAACGGGAATTGCTGCAGCTGGCCAACGGAGGAGCACCTAGGAACAACGGGAACGAGCGAAAGAGAGACGGAGATTAGAGTTGCCACTGGGGTGGGGAGGAGCGTTGCCACTCTGCTACTCACCTGCTGCCACTAGCTGCGGCTTGGATTGCGGCAAATTGAAGATGTCCTTGCTCTGATTGTTCACATAGCAAATGTGACAGCTGCGACCCGAGGAGCTCTTGTCAATGGCCGTGCTCAGGCTTTGGGTGCGACGAAATAGTGAGAATCTACCGCTGCGACCACTGCCCTTGAGCTGTCGTTTTTGGGAATGTTGTTGTTGTTGTTGTTGTTGCTGCTGTTGCTGTTGCTCCTCCTGGTGCTGATGCTGATGCTGGTGATGATTATTCGGTTCCGATCTGTCCGCCAGCAAATCCCCCTTGCTGCCCAACAGACTGCCAGCAGCAGCCAGCTCTTGGCCAGCAATTGCGTCCTTGTAGATGGGCGCCAGATAGCTGACCGTGTCACAGATCAGGCAATGCCAGGTCACGGAATTGTTGTCCGTCTCGCAGGCGTGGCAGATCCAGCGTCGATTCAACGCCGGATTCGAGAAGTGACGATACAGCTCGATGGAGCTCTTGATGTACTTTCGCGTATCCTCGCAATCCACACAATTGGCGGGCAGGTTCTGGCTATTCCGCTGCGGTCGCTTCAGACAGCCGCGCAGTAGCGACTTGTAGACATGTTTGTTGTATTCATTTCTGGAAACACACGGAGAGGGTAAAAGGGAGAACGGTGTGGGTTAGGGGTTGCACGCGTCAAAGGTTATTTCAATGACCGCATGGAAATCCAACTTGCGACTCGCGACTTGCGGACCACCACCCCTTCCTCTTTTTTATTTGGGGTTCCTTCTGTTCCTTTTCTCTGCGCTTTTTGCCCACTCACTTCACTTGACGCTTAATTTTCAGCACAAATTTTGTTGTTGTTGTTGTTTGTGGACCAGGGGAGACGATGGAACGAAGAGTAATATTCAATTAAAAACCAAATCAATAAAATTGTAAACAATGTTTCTTGGTTCCAAATCGATTTTCCCCAATTTCGTCTCTGTTACTCCTTTTTGTTGTTGTTGCTGCTGCTCCTCCTCCTTCTCTATGTATACAGGCACACGCACGCACACACACACTGCACGCACGCGAAACGCTCACACACACTAACGCAACACACACAAATACACATGGAAGACAGGCTGTTTGTTTTTGTGTGATGATTTTTTTAGGCTCACCGCAGCTCTTTTGCTTTGCTTTTGCCTACCTACTGCGTGCTTACCTGGTTACCGTTTTGCTCCTATCCAGCGACTCTCCATCAGCTGGCAACGCTTCTGCCGGATGCGGGGGTGCTCGCTGTCGATGTATCCAAGTGCTGGGCTGTCGCTGTGCAGTTGTTGTTGCTGTCGCTGTGACCGTCTGGTGAGACGACAATGTTGCGGTAGGACTGGGAAACACCTTGCGCACAGTACCGCAATTGTAACATTTGAGAGATTCAGTTGGATTGATCGTATTGCACTTGGTGCACGACCACTGCAGCACCGATGAGATGGTGCCCATGACTGACACTGAATGACACTGGGTAAAAGGGACAGTGGCCGGGGGGCAGGGGGCCAACAGCCTAGCTGCTGTTGTACTGCTTGGCGTTGGGGCTGGCTGCCCTGCCACTAGCTTGAACAGGAGCTTTCGCTCTGCCTATGGCCTATGGCTGCTGCGTCTGAAGCTACCGTTATCAGCGCCCGTTGTTGTTCGAGTTGTGCTGTTGTGTGGCGGGGAGGGGGGCGGACAGAGCCTCACAGCGAGCACCAGTAGACCCAGGCTTTCGACAGTTTCACGCCGCGCGCTCCTTTCACACTTTTAACTGTTGCAGCACAACACATATTTAGCAGATTGTATGGGCAGCAGTGTGACCGCGGAGTTAACGATACAACATACTGTGAGGGCCTCGAAATTATACGGAAATATACTTTTTCATTTTCAAAATATACCGCAGACCTTGTTGTAGATACAAACTTCGGACAGCAACAATAAGAACGGCCCACCTGATTAAGTTATCGATAAAAACTGAGATGATAACAACTTGTGCAGGGCTGCCATACCGTTGTATCAATTCAATTAGGGCTGTCAAGTGCACTAAAGGAACTGAATTAAAGAAATAGTTGGTTAGCCTAAATGAGATAAACATATCGCAAACAGATGCAAGATCAGATCAAAAAAATTTACAATCAAATTGAACTAACAATAAAAAAATAAATTGTTCATAGCCTGATTATAGTTTTGTATCGATTTCTGGTCTGTTAACACCATGGCAGCGTCTTTACGACTATCTGGTGATGCAGTTTTTCCAGACAGGATGAGGAAGAACTCGCCCCAGACGGTAAAAAGCCAAGTCCATGTCCCTGCTATTTTTCATAATTTTGCGGATTTCAAACAATAGAGAATTATATTTCTGGTATATATCTGAAAGCCAAACGGTAAAGTATATCGATACTCCGCGGTCACACTGATGTAAATAAATTCATCGTGACTCGATTCCCGCGTGCAACCAGAACGTGTTTTGGATTCTTTGACAACATTTTGGGAGAGAATATAGAATAACCAGGGAATGCAGCGACAGAAACCCAAGAGGTCGGGTAAACCAGGACCGCGCCCCAAAACGAGCAATGGAAAACCAGGCGCCGCCAACAACAAGCAGCATCATCGACCCAGGCCAGAGTACAACAAGTCAAAACTGGCGGCCAATGAACTAGAGATCCGTGCACTCCAGGACCAATACAAAGAGATCGATGCACAGGCCATCAAGAAGTTCGCACAGTTTCCACTCTCGCAAAAGACGCAGAAGGCCTTGGCAGAGGCCAAGTACGTTAATCCAACGCCAGTGCAGCTGGAAAGCATCGGACCAGCATTGCAGGGCAAAGATGTGCTGGGCGCTGCTGTCACCGGCAGTGGAAAGACATTGGCATTCCTCATACCCGTAAGCGGCTGTCAAGCTCAAAAAGAAAATACAATTTATGAAGATTTTCTGTTTAGGTCTTGGAGCATCTGTTCATCAACAAATGGTCGCGCACGGATGGAGTGGGCGCTATTATCATCTCACCCACTCGCGAGCTGGCCTACCAGATCTTCGAGACCCTTAAGAAGATTGGCAAGCATCACGACTTCTCGGCCGGCCTCATTATTGGTGGCAAGAATCTAAAGTTTGAGCGCACGCGAATGGACCAGTGCAACATTTTGATTTGCACACCCGGCCGTCTGCTGCAGCACATGGACGAGAATCCGTTGTTCAACACTAGCTCCATGGAGATTCTCGTACTGGACGAGGCGGACCGTTGCCTGGACATGGGCTTCCAGAAGACGCTGAATTCCATAATCGAAAACTTTCCGCCCCAACGGCAGACGCTGCTCTTCTCGGCCACGCAGACAAACACTGTTCAGGACTTGGCTAGACTCAATCTAGTGGATCCCGTCTATGTGGGTTATGGTGGCCAGACAGCAGCAGCATCCACAGCCACAAAGGAGGGTGGTGGTCAGACGACTGCTGTTCTGGCTGTGCCGGAGCTGCTGCAGCAGAGCTATGTGGTGCTCAATCTGGAGGATAAAATCACCATGCTCTGGTCGTTCATCAAGAACCATTTGAAGCAGAAGATCATCGTGTTCGTATCCAGCTGCAAGCAGGCAAAGTATCTCTATGAGATCTTCTGCAAACTAAGGCCGGGATGTCCGCTGCTAGCACTCTATGGAACGCTGCACCAGGATCGCCGCATTGCCATCTACGAGGACTTCCTGCGCAAGAGTCACGTGGTCATGTTCTCGACGGATGTGGCCTCGCGCGGCCTTGACTTTCCCGCAGTGAACTGGGTTGTCCAGCTGGACTGTCCCGAGGATGTTTCCCAGTACATCCATCGAGCGGGTCGCAGCGCCCGCAACAAAACCCGCGGCGAGTGCCTTCTGGTCCTGACGCCCAGTGAAGAGGAGTACATGATCGGGGCGCTGAAGGAGCAGCTCAACCTGAACATCCACTGTGTGCAGATCGATCCGAAGAAGCTTTTCTCACCGCGCGTCAAGATCGAGGCTTTCCTGGCGCAGTTCCCCGAGCTGCGTGCCACCGCTCAACGTGCCTTCCTCTCGTACATCAAGTCCGTCTTTCTCATGCGTAACAAGCGTCTGTTCAATGTGCTCAGCCTGGACCTGGACGCCTACGCACAGTCGCTGGGCCTGGCGGTAACGCCGCGTGTTCCCTTCCTCGCGAAGTTCCTTTGGCGTCAGAAACAGCAACAGCAACAGCAGGGACAGGGACAGGAGGAGGGTCCAGCCGGCACCAGACAGAACACCTTTGGTGGGGATGCCAGCAGTAATGGCGATGCTGACACCGACGATGACGATGATGATCTGATCAAGGTCAAGCGCAGGGATCACGATGTGGAGGGTGGAGCCCTGGACTTACAGCTGGACGACACCAAAGATGAGAGCGAGTCGGAGGAGCTGCTGGTGGTGCCGAAGCGGGAAAAGCTCGTTACCAAAGCGTCGCTGGCCAAGAAGGCGCTTAAGAAGAACCTGCAGGTGAACTCCAAGCTCAAGTTCAACGAGGAGGGCGAAACTGTGGCCGATGATCGCAGCCAGATGAAGGCGCTCAGCACCCGGCAGCAGCGCCAGCAAAAGGACAAGAACAAGGACGACGATGGTGGCATTAACTTGATGCTATCCAAGACACTGCTCTCCGAGGAGGATCAATATGATAAGCTGCGCTTCCGCGAGCTGGTCAAGAAGCGTCACAAGTTGCAGCGCGAGAAGCTGCGCAAGAAGACGGAGGCTGCCCAAGAGGAGAGCGAAGAGGAAGAAGAAGAGGAAGAGGCGAACAACGATCGGGAGTCGGCAGACGATGCCAATAGTGACAGTGAGGGCTCTGTGGACCTATCCTGGCTGCCCGATCCCGATAAAGTTTACAAAAAGCAGTCCAGTGCGGATCATCAATCTGAGGCTAAGCCAGCGCCCAGTTCAAGCTCTGATGATGATGACCAAGACGATGCTGAGGGCTCCGATGACGAGCCCGCCTACAAAAAGTCCAAAATAACGAACAAGATGACGCTGATGGACACGGAGGCGATTGTGGCCAATCTTTTGGGTAGTTAAGTGGTTATTGGGGGTTCTTCGACTGTTTCAATAAATTAATGCAAACTTACTGTTATTATAATAGCCTCTAACATCCAATCTTTTCGTGATATTGGGAACGCTCAGCTCAGATTTGTTCGAGCCATGACACCAACCAAAGCCAGGACACCAACCCATTTATAGGTTGCTCACATATGAGAGCGTGGAGATCTAAAAATTGAATGCGCTTGCATTGTCTTGGCTTGTGGGTCCTCGAGCTAGTCCTCTAACACGACCTTTGGACCATGAATCTCTACCAAAGTTACAAGTTGTGAGCTTTGGATACTCACAGAACTGCATAGTACAGGAAATGGAGTTAAATTTGACTCTGAATTTCGGTTCCTCCGCAAACATTCCTTGCAAATCTTTACATAGAATGACTTCTAATAGATCTAAAGATATCTCTTTTAGGTATCCATTCCACATCTATGATATTCCCCTTAAATAAATAAAAAAAAACGTACACCGAATGCTTCACAAATATTTGGAAAATGCCCACAAATTTATTCTTATTTCGTTTTCGTTTGATTTCATTTTATGATTTATCTTTCTTTCTGTTTTCTGTTTTTTTTTTCTTTCTTCTCTCATGCTCCTGTGGATGTTTCACCTCTGCAAGGGGCCCAGGATCAGTGGTAGCACAGGCATATATGTATGTATGTGTATGGATATAGTGGATATGTGTGCTACCAGACTCATCGATGGGACTACCCCAGTGTGTGGTTGTTTGGAGATGGCCCGGGAGCAGAGTTGTGTTCATGTGTGTGGGTGGGTGATCGACGCGTCACGTCGCGGACACGCATGGGAATGGGAGAGGGAATGGATTGTGGTTTGTTTTGCTTAGCATGGGCGTGGCATAAAATTTGCTTTTAAAAATATCATTACACATCACGTCAATTACAATTATTTTTTTGTTCATTTTTTACGTTTTTTTTTGTTGTTGTTTTTGTTTTTGTTTGTTTTAGTTTTGGTTTTAAGACATATTTTTGCTTGGATTCTTGTTTTGTTTTTTGTTTAGCGTATATAAATAAATGCATACACATATATACGTTAATACATAGACGGTATATATATGTACGTGTACAAATAATGCAATAGACACACATATATACAAATTATACTATATAATGGTTAATTGTTTATTCCGCTTCATCCGCTCATTCGTCTCCAGTCTCCTCTTCTACTCTTCTGTTCTCTTCTCTTTTCTTTTCTACTCTCTGTTGTTGGCAACAGATTTCATCTCTAAGCCTTTTTTGAGCCTTTTTCTCTGCTCTATTGGAGTATTTCTCTTCTGCTCTCTTTTCGTTTCGCTTCTTGTCATTTTTGTTTTGTTTTGTTTAAGTTTGAGGTCCGTTCAGACACAAGATACAATATACACACGCACACACACACACACACACACATATACATCTATATATATTTTACATATTAGAGTTTTGTTTAATATAAAAAAATTAATGCTCAATTACAAGAAATAACACTTAGGCTTATGTTGTCTAGAATTGTTTTTGTTTTTTTTTGTTTCCTTTGCCCCCGCGTGCACCTGCAGCAGCAGCGCATCGATAGTTAAAATACAGTTATGCATGTATGGAATTTGCGTAGACACACACACAATTGCTTAGCCGCGAAGAGAGAGATTTAGAGAGCGAGAGAGAGAGAGAGAGAGGGAGAGATTGGAGGATGCATTACAGTTATGTATGCATGTTTGGGTAGGGTTATATGTATGTATGCTTGGCTAATGCGAATATCGTTTAGACAATCAGTGTAGAGTTTGGAGAGATTTGGAGAGTGTTTGTGTTGCTTGGTTTGTCTGTTCTTTGCCGGGCAAGGTGTGTTTTTTTCGCACGTAAATTTCAATTTCAATTTTATTTATCATAATCGGCTTTATCATATATACATATATATATGTATGTATATATGTATGTACATCTAGGGGGTAACGTCTAGTTGGATACAACATACACGCACACACACGCACAGACACACACACGCTCAATGAGTTGCACATTTAGTTTTTAGCTCGAAAATTAGATTTTTATTCGGATCTTCCGCATAATGTGCCTTACGCTTATGCTTCAGATCCTGATCTGGATCCGTGATCCAGATCCGCAGATCCTGTGGCATTACTTGTCTTCCGCCTCTAGGCTAATTATTATATAATAATATAATATATTTAGATATAATACACACACACACACACAATACAGTAATGGATATAGTAGTAGTAGTTATATAGCTTTAATTGTAGATATTCTAGATATCTAGCGTCGTTACCTTTATATATATATATATATTATATAGATACGTGTTGTATATGTACTATGTATGCACGTACTGTGGAAATTGGTGTTTGAACATACAATTTAAGTTACAGTTACAGTTACAATTACAATTACAGTTACAATTACAGTTATAGCATACACAGATACACAGTAAATTGTATTAATCCTTTTCCCGCAGTATTTCGTTTTCGTTTTCTTTCTTTTTTTTTGTTTTGTTCATTTCCTTTTCTCTGGTTTTTTTTTGTTTTAATTTTATAAATTGTATTTTATTGAATATTTTATATTAGTTGTGCGTTGTCGCCCACCCACACCACATCTCTGGGAAGGTTTCGATGTGGGGTGTCTCTCACTCAATGGATTCAACGACAGGGACACGCAGAGAAAAAACACTTGACGCGCGTTTACATATATCACGGAAACACAACAAAGCCATTGGATATACAAAATATATATATGCATACATATATGTATGTATGTAATGAATGTTACATATGTAGTTATGCATGTATGCAAGTATATAAAAAATAAATATACATATACCCTACTTAGCCAAGTGTTCGTTTCACCTCCCCCTCACCACCCACCAAAAATACTTTACACATGCAATTACAGCAGTTACAGCTACGAATACAAAACACAGATACACTCGCACACACATAGATATACATACATAAAAAATACAAAAAAAAACAACGTTAATACACACACAGATAATAATATCATCATCTTATTATATATATGAAGTATTTGTAAACATATGTATATGGAGCATTTTTTATATATCAATTATGCGACTTCTCGTCGTACTCCTCCCTCCCGCTACGACTACAGCAGAATCTCACAAATTAGAACCACTTTTTGTATGGCTTGGGGTGATTCTAATTTCTCATTTATGGACATTATTTGTTTAAATAAAATAGTTAAATATAATAATAGTAATGTAAAAATAGATCGAAAAAGTATTATATTTATAAATATTTAATGAATTGAACATGCAAATGTATAGAAATTCATTAAAAAAACAAACAATTTAAATTTGAAATTTGAGCTTCAGTCATAAATTTACATCAATTTAAGCAATTTCGAGCCACGAATAGCTTCGGAGTACCACTTGTGTACCGCCGGTTCCAATTTCACATTTGCCAATGCATTAAGTGGTCGGGGTTTAAATTTCTAATTTGTGAGACTCTGCTGTACTCCACTCAAAATGAATCGATCGATCGATGGGCTGCCTTTCTCCCTTTGCTATCTCTTTCATTTCTATCCACACACATACATGGCACACGCACACACACACACACACGAGATACACACACACACATCACACGCATGCGAACATTGAGTCTATCTAGGATCTGTTTTTGTTGTTGTTGTTCTTGTTGTCTGCTGTCTGCTGCTGCTGTTTAGACCATTACAAACGCATCCTTGCCGCAGAATAGATACGGAAACTGATCAATCATCGTCTGGACAATGTCCTCGAGATATGGCCGCAGCTGCTCAAAGTGTCCCATGTCGGTAAAGTCAATGGGTATCAAGGTGGGCCACCAGCAAATGGCCAAATTCTTGCTATCCATGCTATTCAGCTTGGAGTTGTCCGAGACGCTGCAATGATTTGGAGAGTTTAGTAGCTGCCCAAAGAGTTGAGACAGTCAGTCAGTGTTCACTTACTGCACAAAGTGCTGGAATATGTATTTGAGTATGGCAAAATTAATGGGTGGCAGCTTTTGCAGCAGCGATTTTAAAGCTATCAAGCGGCAGCTGCGATCCGTTTTCACCTCCACATTCAACTTGGAGGAGCCAACGCCACGAGAGCCTGAAATGAATGGGCAGACAATCGATTGAACCATCTCTTCCTTTGCGCTTTGTCTTCCTCTATGCTTACCAGCAATCTCCTCCAGCTCCTTGATGATATCCTTACTAAACAAAGGCGGCAGGCGCTTGGAGAAGAAATCCTTCAGTGCTGTAGCCACGGCATTGACGGGTATGTCCAGCACATCGATGACAGTGTTGACATCTAAAAACAGCAAGGAATAAAATGTAGAAAGGGCTGTCTAACCCTCTCGCTCTCCTTCACTTACCTTCCTCGAAACGCTGAAAGAGCATATCGACATGCGCCCGACTGCCCGGCACACGGTAGATGCCCTCCGAGTCGAGTCCCTCCTTCTCGATAAACTCCACGCACTTGTTGAGAAAAATGGGTATCTCGCCCTGTTCGGAGCTAATCATTAGCTTGCCGAATTGCGCCTCCACGGACTCGGCCAGTCCCTTGGCATTTTGCTTGAGCTTTCGTTTGAGCTTCTTCTCCTGCTCCTTTTCCTTCTCCTGCTGCTTGCGTATGCGTGCCGTCTCCTCCTTGATGCGCCTCTTCTCGTGCTTCTCAAAGTCCTTCAGGCATTTGGCATTCATGTTGTACTCTGGCAGATTCTCAGCGCCAAATATACCAGCTGCAGTCAGCTCCGGCACCATGGAATACTAAAAAACGGGACAAAAGCGTCAAAGAGGTCCCTTATGAATGGCAGGGTTGCGTGCGAGCGCTTACCTCTGGGGATTTGTCGCTCTTCATGAACTCCGGCACACCAGCCTCGGGTTTCTCTGTGAATTGGAAGAATGTGAAGCATTGAGCGGTGGCATGGTTCATGGTTGGCACGGGGACAGAGAGAGAGAGAGAGAGCGAGAGAGAAACAGAAACAGCTGATATCCAAGTGCAAACCCAAGCGGAGGAGGGAGTAGGAGCAATCAGGAGCAGGATAGATTAGGATTTTGATGCAACACAAACACGACACATACTTTTCTCACCTGCCCCGACGACGGTCATGCGCTGATAGTGCAGTGGAATCTCCGGCGGACTCACATAGGAGCCAAATGGTGGCACACGCGGCGTCTGCACGGGTATGGCCACCTTCTTCTTCTTCTGCTTCTTGGCACTGGCCTTGCTCGCCTTGCTGCTGGCCTTGTAGTAGGCATTCTGCTGGCGCACACGCCGCTCCGTCGAACTGGCGCAGCTATCCGACTCGGTGCAGTCTGTGGATGGCAGGGATAAAAAGGCAGAAAAGATAAGATGAGTGTGTGTGATCCAGCAGGGGATTGTGAGTTCTAGGATAAATGCCCTGCCTGGCGGGGGGAATAGGGGAGAGAGGTGGGTAAAGAGAGTAAACAAAAACTAAACCGGAAGGAGTAAGGAGCGCGGGGTTGCGGGAGGTGCGTTAGCGAATGATTTGAGAGAGAGAGAGAGAGAGGTGTGAGAGTTTCGAGAGATTCCCGTGATTGAGGTGATGGAGGAGGAGGTTCCGATCCTATTCGATCCTACCTTCGTTTTCATAGATCTGCTCGTACTCGGCCAGCTCCTCGGAGTCCTCGTCCTCGCCATCCAACTGGGCGTGATCATACCGCTTGCCATCCTTGCCCACAGTCACAGGGTCACAGTCGCCCAGATATGAGTCGGCCATGCTGCCACTGCCAGTGCAGAGGCCCAGGCCAGTGCCGGAACCAGATCCGGAGCCCGAACCAGAACCGGAACCGGAGCCCGTGAAGTTCATCTTGGCCACCGCCTCGCTGACCAGCTGGAAATTCTTCATATTCAGCTTGCCCGGCGGCTGTGTGGGCAGCGTAAAGGTGGATGAGCTCATTGCCGGACAGTTGCGGCTGGGCGCCTCGCCCACCTTCAACGTTTGGCTGGGACCCTTCGGACGGATCTTGTTAAGATTGGAGTCAATGTGCCGCCGGCCCGTGGTGTAGGCGTGCGTTGAGCCGCTGAAGTTGTTCCATATTGAGTTTTTGTTCATGTTGCGTCGCCCATCGCTCTTGTCCTCCAGCCATTCTGATTTAGGAAAGAGATTGGGAGATCGGATTAGGCAGGCCTAAGAGTGGAGGTGGAGTTCGGGGGTTCTCTCCCGCTTCAATCATTAATCCAGCAGGCTTTCTCCCATCTACAGCTAAACTTGAGGGGTGTGTGGTGGGGAGGGGAGGTGATGTAACGGAACAAACTGCGTGCAGAAGGAGTGGGGAAATCAGGCAGCTAGCTGGGATTTATATCTATCGGGGGACTGGGGCGGAGGGTGGTTGCGTGCTGAGCATTAACAGTAAAGATTAACCTGCATCGTGGGCGGCCAATGAATCCTTCGATCCGCTGACATCCGCTGCTTGTATGTGTGTGGGTGCGAGAGAGAGTTTAGCAAAATGGTAGAAAGAGAAACGAGAAGCAGAAGAGAGTTACCAGATCAGTTTCGGTTCGACTCAGCGCTGCAGAAAAATCTTCCACAAAAACAGAAGGAGGGAGAGAGAGAGAGAGAGAGAGAGTGGGGGGAGAGTGGAAGGTTGGGAGAGCAAAGAGATGGCAAAGCAAAATGGAGAACAAGAACGAGAACAGCAAACGAACGAAATAACTTTTGTACAAATATTTCGATTCCAATCGAAGGGTTTGTCGGGTTGTTGGGTTATCGGGTGGGGTGTACGGGATTTATGGGTTTATAGAGCATGTGTATGTACATAGAGAGATTATGTGTTTAGTATACAGCAGGCAGCCGCGCGCGGCCTGCGAAACTTAAGGATCAAAAAGGAAAAGAGCACACGAAAAAGAGCAAACTAAAACACAACTAATAAGCGAAAATGGGAGGAAAGTCGCTAAGAAAACTCAAGGAAGAGCACATTGCATGGAATCGGCACGCAAAACGGTAAGAATAACTGTAGCGGCAGCGCTGCAGCAGAGCAGAACCCTGGTGTAGGGTAAGTGCAGGGTGTGGAATAGGAGAGGGTGGGGCTAGCTAAACCTTGCAGTGGTCTCGTTGCACCTCTTGGGCAGTAGTTAAGCGACACTTAGCGATGTCCTCCCTTAATGCCTGTACCGCGACATGCAGCAGTGCTCCTCAGTCAAGGATTTTGAACAAATTTACACTGAAAGTTGTTACTTTTTACAAATTCAGATTTGGCGTTCCTCAGTCCAGGATGCGACATTTTCGAGAGTTTTGAATAAAGATCTATTTTATTTAATATACATGAACGAGCTACCACCGCAAGGTCCTATGGCTAAGCACATTTTTCTTAGGGAATCAGGGAACTGGAAGGAACTTAATGTGGTGTTTTTTTTTACTGAGTGAAGGAGCAGAGTAATAACGAAAAAGAAACCGTCTAAAGAATAGAAAACTAAGAAAACGAGAGATAGGCAGAGAGATAGTGAAATAAAAGTATAGATTGGAAAAAAGAGGGAAGCAAATAGGTTGAAATATATTCAAATAGTTAGATTACATGTTATTTCTTCCAAACTTGATTCTGAAGCCGAAACGAATTGACTCTTATATGTGCATGTAATGAGCTGATGATCTGGAGGGGCTGGCTCTGGAGGAGTTGTTGGAGGAGGGAATATCTGGAATCCTTATATAGTTTTTTTCGTTTTTTTTTTTTTTTGATTCGAGTTTGAGCAAATAATTTTCAATGACAACAACAAATGACACACACACAGAGATAAATCGATTAAAAAGGTTTGGTTAAGATGAATCGTTAATTAATCATTAATCATTATAGATTATATTATATATAGTATATAGATACTGCATATAGTAAGTATATGGAGAGTAAATGGCGCACTTATGTGAGAATGATTTATGGCAATGGTTGATGAGAAGTGAGCATGAGAATGGAATGAATGAATGAATGAATATATAATAGATATATGATATATATATACGACTTATATACACATATACATATATATGTAGTTGGGTAGAGGCGGGCAGGTAGGTAGTTAGGAATGCTATTATTATTATCATAATTATTATCATATTTAATTGTGTTTTCTTTTTGGGAGAGTTTGCGCACAAATATAATTCTGAATCGGATATTTTTGGTTTGGTTTTTTGGGCTTGGCTTGGTCAGAGTTTTTCTTCTTTTCTTTTCTATTTTTTTGTTGGGGCTTGGATAAATGTGGGGTTTGGTTTTAGTGGCCGCCAGCATGGAACTTACTTTGATGCAGGTGCTTGGGCTTTTCGTTGTTTTCATCGTAGATTTCATCTAATGATATATCTCTTTCTTCTGCAAAGCGAAACGATATGGAAATAAGACAATAAATACATAAAAGTTCCATTCGGTTAGGCGCTTACCATTTAATGAGTTCAGAGATCGGGTAGGAAGCATTTCGTAATTCTCACTGCCGGAACCATCGGTGCCTAATGTATTTGACAGCATGTAGCTCTCGTGGCGGGGCGGTGGGCGCGGCATCTGATTCACCGAACTCTCCAGCGTACCCTCGCCCGAATCTAATGTAATTGACTCCTCCACATGCAAATTCTCCACCTCGTACTTGTTGTCCCAGGCGGTCTTCAGGAATGGATTATAAAATGCAACTGCAAAAGCACACAAAGGGAGCAAATAATTAGCCTGAAGCAAGGAAACAGTAGGGGGACGGACTGTGCAAACTTACATTTAACATACTGATCCGCTGAGAATGTCATGAAGCTGCCCTTGAAGCGATCGGCCAGTGCATTGCCTTCGGTAATGAGAAACTGACAAATGTCGCTGTTGAAGAACGCATTGACGCCGCCGCTCTCCGTCACGGCAATGATCTGCAGCGGAATGTTGGCATTCTGGGCAGCCAAAATGCTGTCAAAAGTAAGCCAAAAATTAAGTTAGTAGAAGCACTGCCAAAGATCCCTCCGTACGTACCTCAGATTGGCCAGGGATGAGCGACGTTTGGCCGAGTAAAAGTAAATGTAGCCATGGATAAGCTCATCCCGATACTGATTGGTGCCGTGGTAGGAGGAGAGTATAAACTCCACCCGCCGCTTGGCATCGCCAATGAACACATCGACAATGATCGAATGCTCGCTGGCCTTCACGAGCGTCGATTCGGCGACCAGCGGCTGGACAATGTTCTCAATGTCATACTGATCGCCGCAGAAGATGCAGCAGAGAATACGGAGATCGGTGTGATTGGAGGGATACGGATCGTAGCTCTTCATCTCTGTCAGCTTGAGCGATAGGATGACAATGTTCAGTATGTCGTAGACATACTTCTGATGGTTCTGCGTGTGATCGATAAAGTCACAGTGCAGCATCTCCGACAGGCGCATGCCCTCGCTGCGCAGATACTCGACCTCGTTCTCCTTGAGATCCTGCGGCTGATACACCAGCACAATGGGCAGATTCTCGAACTTATCCTCCAGCTCCAGGTTGCACAGCAGCGTTCGTTCCAGGTTGTCCTTGAGCGTTTCGAACGACTGCTGATTGGAGTACACGCAGATGAGGCCTACAAAAGACAAGAGAGTGTGTGTCGAGGAGGAGCAGAAGGAGTAGCAGCAGCCACACTCACCACTCGAATAGACGTCGATGGCCTTGAAGGCCTCCATGTCCCCATTGGCAATGCGATAATTGAGATAGTACGTTTGATTCTCGTAGATATACTCGCCTTTGCTGCCCGTACAGATGCGTATATCGTTGAGCAGATCGCTGGCCAAATGCTCGGAGCCAACAATCAGCAGATTGAGGGTGCGATCGCTGCCATTGCCAGTCGTCTTCCAGCCGCCACCACCACCAACGCCAACTCCTACGCCCGGTGTCTTGTGATTGCTGGTGGCCGACTTGTCGGCGAGCACCTCCTCGATCAGGCTGTCCACACAGTTGTTGAAGAACGGGCAATGATCGCGTATGGGGCAGTGAATGAAGCGCAGATGCTGCACGAGCATCACGCGTCGCTCCTGGTCCAAGCGGTCGAGCATCTTGTAGCGCGAATCCTCCTGTATGACATCCGTAATCTGGCGCACATCCTCCTGCGTGATAATGTCCACGTTCTTGAACTGCAAAAAGTACTGGGCATGCTCCAGCAGCAGCTCGACAAAGTTCTGTTTGCTCTTCTCGATTATCTCGTCCTGATGGATGTCGTAGATCTGCTGGCAATCATGCTCGGACAGCGCCTCGAAGCACTCACGACCCATGAACAGCACACGCACCTCGGACAGCTGCTTGCCGGGCGTAACAAAGCCGGATTCCTCCAGCAGCATCTTGAACTGCTGCTTCCAGCTGAGGGATGAATAAAGATTAAGGATGAACATCAAGTGGGAGATCTTTGCTGCTTTTTGTTAGGACTTACCCAATCTTCTTCTTGTCCTGCTGCACGGAATTCAAATAGTTTCGGAATACTGTCTCTGCCTCGGAGGTTTCCAGCACATCGAAGGGTATGCGCGCCTCATCCTCGGCCTCGTCCATGTCAACCAGCTCGGTCCACGAGGCCTGGGGGCACTCGAAGAAATATTGCTCAAACTCAATGTGATTCTGCAGATAGTTGCGGGCACACTCCCAGGCATCGTCATCGATGATATTCAACGCCCCAATGTCCGGCAGCATGTACTCCAAGGCCAGGGCGAACTTATCCAGATACTGGTGAAGCTTCTTGTTCAGGTGATCATCGCGCAGCTTCTTCATGTGGCGGCGGAAGAGCTTCTGCCCGGCCTCGTGGCCGAATATGTTCAAGAATTCGTTCCACTCGCGATACTGGGAGAGCATCTTGGAGCCCTGCGACCAGAGGATGTGATAATCGGTGATCTGATTGCGTATCAGTCGTGTGACCGCCTCCGATCTGGTGTCCAGCAGCTCCTTGCGCGACTTGGCCGACTCCTGGTACGAAATGATCTTCACACGATTCTTCACCTTGTCAATCATTTGGGCGAGCATGAGGAAGGCCAAATCGATGTTAATGCTCTCATGGGCCGACGTCTCGATCAGCTGCACCGTGCTCTTGTAGTCCTTGCGCTGACTGATCTTCTCCGCCTCGCGCACATAAAGCTCGTATGCATCGTCATTCTTGGTGGTGACCAGCACGAGCGGCTTCTTGTTCTTCACAATGGTGGCAATCACATTCTGTACGAACTCCACCTGCTTCTCAACGCTGCGGTTTGGCACGGGACTGACGTCGAACACGACGACAAAGCCATCGATGCTCAGACGCCCCTCGGGCATCACCTTCTGTTCGTACTCCTTCTCGATGCCCAACTGATTCTTGCATATATACATGAGCTTCTCCGCGGAGAAGACTTTGGTGGCGGTGCAGCGCTTTGAGTAGGGATCCATTTTGCCCACCTTGAAGGCCTGGAATGTGGAGTCGTCCATGAACTCTGTCTGCTCGATGATATTGAAGTTGTACTCGACGCCCTCCTCTGTGGTTTTGCGCACCTCGCCCCAGTACAGGAAGTGATCGTTGTTCACGATCCGTCCACTGAAGTCGCTCTGGCTGAGCACTGATATGTGATCGATGAAGTAATCGTCGGCCATCGGCCGCATGAATCTGTTGCACAGGCATGACTTGCCCACACCCACCTGGCCGCGATCCTTTTCGGTACCGGATAGTCCAATGACCGAAATGTTGAACTGACGCATCTTGAAGCACCTGCAAGAAGAGAGGGAGAGGAGCGTTATCGTTAGCACATATTGGATGAGGATCCCGGACTCTCATCTTTGCACAATTTTCCCTATACACGCAGCTACGGCGGATACATCCACGGATGGACAGCCCCGCGCCCGACCGACACACACAGAGAGACACCGAAAGAGAGAGAGAGAGAGAGAGAGAGAGCGAGCCTGGCTGCTGGCGGCTGCTGTGTCGACAAAAGAAAAACGGACTCTATTTCTTTTCTTTTTTGGTTGTCTTTGCCGGTGCTAAGCGGAAAATGTAACCAAATTGATTTCAAACTGCAAACGCCTTCCGCTTGATTTCACAATTGCCTGCAATAACCTCTTCGTTTTATTTTTTTTTTTCGTCCTAGACCGTGCCAGTACCTGAATTTTACAACATTTTTCTATGGGAAAACTCTGTCTGCAACACAAATCCTTTTTCTGTCTTGACTGAGGCTGCTGCTGCTGCTGCTTGCCTGCCTGCTGACTGCTACAAACGGCGCAAGACAGCAAAAGATAGAGAGAGAGAGAGAGAGAGAATGAGCGTGAGAGCCAGAGAGCGAGCAAACCTCCGATAACTGAGAGAGTAAGAGAGAGGAGGTGAGCCGCACTCAATGTGGGTGGATTTTTTGTTGTTGTTGTTGTTGTTACTGTTGTTGTTGTTGCTAGTGCATTTTTCTCACTCCTAATTTTCAGATGTTGCTGTTGTTATCCTGTTCTCTCCTTCCTGCTGCTCGCGCTCTCCAACAACTACACAACGTTTACTGAATGGGGAAGCAAAAAAAAAAAACGAATTGTTGCTGCGGCTGCATTTGTGTGGGTGTGTACCAATAAACATTGAAGGGGGCGCAAGTAAAACCAGAGTCAAATGCAAATAAACATAAGCACTAGCCCCCCTCCCTCCACTACTCTACTCTACTTGTACTCTAAACATTAATTGAGCTTTTCCGGCATTACAAATTATTGCAAGCGAAACCCTCCTCCACGTGTGTGTGTGTAAGCGTGAGGGTATGTTTGTGTTGTGCTCCAACTGCAAGTGCAGCACGCAGAATCGAAATTGGAGACACTGGACAGCGGTGCTGGTGCTGCTGCTGCTCTGCTGTAGGGCCCCCATAGAGATGAAAGTGTTCCAGCAACAGATTTCCTGTACAATCTACATTCCCGGGCAGCACAACAGCAACAGCAACAGCAACAACAAGAACAACAACTACAGGGCCTACGATAACAACGACAATGCTGCAGCGAGCAGAACCTTAGTCTACGGTTACTGTTGTTCTTGCCTCTGAATTCACTTTGCCAGGCCCTTCACTTTACAAAGGGGCGGGGTAGGGGAGTCGATAGTAGTTCTGGCTGCAAGTGCAGTGTAATATGCAACGGGTGGGGCATTGATAGAACCGGGGGGGCCACAGAGAGAAACATAGAGAGCGAGACAGAGAAAGAGAGAGATGGAGTACAAACAATTTTTGTGTAACTTCATTGAACTGTTTGCAGCCGAAATTCGGATTTGATGCAGAAAATACTGTTGCCGCATCCGTCTTTCCATCACTGTCTCTCTCCCACTCCCATATCCACATCCACTTCAACTCTCATCTGTACAGCTCTCCCTCGCTCTCTCTATCAGAGTCACTCTCTCTCACACACGAGTTGCGACAATTACCTGCAGTTGCGCACAAAGGAGAAGCAGGGCCACGGGGCGAATAATCAGACAAGCAACTTTCTTTTATTTATGTTGTTGTATTCTTTTCGTTTGTTTCCAATGTTGGCAATAGACAAATTCTAACAACAAATTTTAGTTGTATTTGCTTTAATTATTTTCCAACCAGCTTGCACAGACACAAACACGAGAACACACACGCACGCGAACACTCATACACGGCCACGGGACATGGAGATGCCGTTGGGAGAGCCAAGACCAAGAGCGAGCGAGCGAGCAAGAGCGTACACGACGTATACAAGAAGACAATTACGAATCAGCATCGTAAAACACACACAAAACTGAAGAAAAAACTTCTCCTGACGCTAGTGAAAAGTTGGAGTTTGCCTCGAGTTTTGTTCAACATTTACTCACAATTGTTGCACTTTCACAGCTCCAATACGTTTAATTAAACGGTATAAATATAGTAATAAAAGTTATTCCACATCCGAGCTGAGCTTTAATAACAACAAAAATGCACCCAGCAGTGTGACCGCGGAATTATCGATAAGATATACCGTCAGACCCTTACAAATGTACCAAAATATAAACTCCCATTTTAAAAATATACCGAAATATACCGTAGTCTCAAATCATATTCCTCGACTTTGATGTTCTATTAAATATAACTTGCTTGCAAAGACTTTTAACACTGAAAAAATAATTTAATTCGAAGAATAATCAATTTGGCTTATTATAAATACTCCTTTTTATTAGATTGTATACCTTATGACCTTATACTTTTCCAATTTGTATTTGACTTTTTCATTCAAATTACCCCTTCAGGAAGCAACGGAGCTTTCACGCTGCAAAGTGTCATGACGTCACAAAACGCCAAAAATAAGAATGATTTTGATTGGTTTAATTGAATCCCCATCTCCCAGGACTGTTGATTCTAAATCGATAGTCCGACAGACTGCAAGCAACAGTTGCCACAATATCGATAGCTATGTAGGTTATCAATCGATGTCACCACTAATTAAAAACGGGCACGATAAGTATTTAATTACATTTAATTATGAAAATTAACTACAAAAACAATTTCAGTTTAACTAATTTTATTCAAATTAAGTAGATTTTTTGGTAAATATCGATACAAATATCGATAATAGCGCGCTACTCTAGCTAGTTTTTGAAACACAAATCAGCTGATTCAATACTGGCGCTGCCTGAGTCCCAAATTGACGCCATTTCTGGAGCGTAAAACGATCTTAATGGAGGGCTGCACATCCGGTCCGAGGGGCAGCAGCACAAACTGTCTAAGCAGCTTAATGACCACAGTCTTGACCTCAAACAGGGCGAACTTCTGGCCAATGCAATTACGCGGACCCGCACTGAAAGGAATATTGCTGTAGGCGCCCTTGCCCAGTTGTCGCTCCGGCTGGAACAGCAGTGGATCTGCGAAGAGCGTCTCATCCCGCAGCAGTTGCCAGAGCAGCAGAATGACATTCGTTCCCGCTGGTATGCGGCCACCTACTGCAGAGGTAGGTCCTAGTCTCGTGTCCAAGGCTAAAGCTAAGACTAAGGCCACTTACCTACTGTCAAGTCCGTTTCCAGGCAACGTCCCACAGCCGGAATGGGCGGATACAGACGCAGTGCCTCCCTGACCACACAATTCAGATACGGCAAAGCGGCAAAATCCGCATACACCACGCAACGATCCAAATCTCGGCCAAAGTGCGCCAGTAGCTCATCGAACAGCCGCTGCTGGACGTCCGCATGCCGCGACAACAGATACAGGCAGAAGGACACGGCCGATGTGGTGGTGTCGTGACCCTCAAAGATGAATGTGTTCACCTCGTCGCGTATTTGCTTATCCGTCAGCGGCTGCCCATCCACAGCACGCGCCCGCAGCAGTGTGTCCAGCAAGGCATTGCGACTGTTCCGCTGCCCATCCGCTGCACTATCGTTCTCCCGCCGCAGCAGCTGGCGTCGCTGTTCGATGATGTGATCCGTGAACTGATGCAGGCACTGTATGCCCTCACGCTGCTTACGATAGCCGCTGGGCCAGCACAGACGAAACAGCAGCGGCGGCAGCAAATGCGGACGCATGAAGCGCGTGGCCAAAGTGTTTGTCACCCTGCCAGGAGCAAAGTTGAGCACAAAATGGCAGAGATAGCCCAGCACTGGCAACTTACGCTTTAACAGCCTGCACCACAGGTGACTCCGCATCGAGCTGTGCATCCACACACACCCCCATGGCCGTTTCCGTGATGATATCGAGCGCTGCCAGGCCCACAAATGGATAAATATTGATCGGCTCTCGGCCATCCTTCGCCAGGGGCTGCAGTCGCTCCACCAGCCGCTGGCTCTGTCTGTCAAACACCTCCACGAACTGCTCCAATATGCTAAAATGAAACGTGGGCGTTATGATCTTGCGCATGCCGTGCCACTGCTCGCCACGGCTGAGCAGCAGGCCATTGCCCAGCCAGCCGCGTAGCGCGCCATAGATGCTGCTCTTGCGCAGCTGCTCCTGGCTGTGCAGCAGCGCATCCACATGGCGTGGCTCGGCGGTGACCACAATCACCTGGCCCCACACGGTGGCCATGAAGCTGCGACCAAAACGCTGCACATACTCCGAGAACTTTTCATGGAGATCTAGAGAGGAGAGAGAGGAGCAGTAAATATCGGCGGAGCTGAGTATCGCAGTGTCTTGTCTCTTACTGTCTGGCTGAAAGCTGCGCATCTGCCAGGCGGCACCGACTAACGGCATTTGCGAGACACTGGGCACCAGCCCTCTCAGCGGATGCTTCAGCTCACGCATTGCCAGCTGCAGCAGCCACACCACAATGAGGGTCAGCGTTAGGGTCAGCAGCAGTGCTAACAACATGGTCTTATCAGGGAACACTTCAACTGGCACTCGGAGAACTATTTGTGGACGCGTGTGTCCGTGCACTTTGGTTTTTGTATCGTTGCTGTGGGGGCAATTACATAAAGTAAACGGGTTCAAAAAGTCCACCACTAGCAGTGGGAGAGGAAGAGCAAACAGCTGATTGGGGGACATAACAGCTGTTGCGAGCAGCTCCACAAAATGAAAACAAAACAAAAACCGCCAAAAAACAATAAAACCTAAATGGAAATTCAATTAACAAATATTTTCTTGCATTCACAGTGTTTAACTTAAGCGGCACGTGGCTGTAGGCCCAAATGCACACCGTTGGCCGAGCGCAAAACAATATTCATGGCGGGTCGTGGCTCGGGACCCAGGGGCAGCAGCTCAAAGTGTCGCAGCAGCTTGCTAATGGTGCTCTTCATCTCCAGCAGGGCAAACTTCTGGCCAATGCAGTTGCGCGGACCCGCTGAGAACGGAATATAGGCATAGGGATGACTCGCCTGTGGCGAGGGGCTATCAAAGCGTTCCGGCTTGAACTCATCGGGGGACTCGAAATACTCGGGATCGCGCAGCAGAACAAAGATGCCAATGGTGTAGTTGGTGCCAGCTGGAATGCGCTTGCCACCTGCAAAGGATGAGAGGTGTTCAAGGCTGGACAGAAACCCCCCTTACAGGACACTCACGTATCTCCACATCTTCGTTGAACCAGCGGCCAATCATGGGCACCGGTGGATGCAGCCGCAGCGACTCCTTAATCACGTTCTCCAGATACTTGAGCTCACCCAGTTCGCGCAGGGTGACCGCACGCTGTCGGTCAATGCCCAGCACCTCGTGTATCTCCTGCAGCAGACGCTGCTGCACCTGCGGATGACGCGAGATCTCGTACAGGCAGAAGGAGATGGCGGAGGTGGTGGTGTCATGGCCCTCGAACATGAACGTGTCCACCTCCTCGCGTATGTCATCGTTGCTCAGGGGCGCACCATCGATGCTCGACTGCAGCAGCACATCCAGCAGCGCCATGCGACGCTTCTGCCCGAGTTCATTCGTTTGCTGCTGCTCCTCCGCGCTGACCAGCGCCTGGCGACGCTGCTTAATGATGCCCTCGGTGAAGTCATGCATCACCTTAATGGCGCCATCCTGCCGCTTGGCCATGCTGGGCTTGAGCAAACGGAAAAGCCAATCGATGCGCTGCCAGGCGTGAATGAATCTGGTGGTCATTATGTTGGTTACCCTGCAAGGAAAGTTTGCTGGCAGCTCGAGCGAGTGCAGAAGAAAGAAGATTGAAACTCACTCTGTGACAGCTTGGACATAGGGCAGATTGGGACTCATTTGTGCCTGGATTTTGCTGCCCATTGCGGTTTCTATGAGGATGCGAAAGTAACAGACAACTTGGAGATGGCTGGAGGATCGTGCAACCCACCTGCGATGATATCCAGCGCCAGCAAACAAACAGCAGGAAAGATATTAATGGCCGTTTTACCATCCGCACGCTGCTGCAATTGCCCCACCATAATGGCGCTCTGCTGATCGAATATCTCCACAAACTGTTCGAGAATCTTAAAATGGAATGTGGGCGTGATAATCTTGCGGCGTGCGTGCCACTTCTTGCCAGTGCTCATGAGCAGCCCCGTGCCCAGCCAGCAGTGCAGCAGCTCGTACAGATTGTTCTTGGTAATGTGCTGCTGGCTGCTCAGAACGAACTCAATGTCACGCGGATCCGTGGAGAAAACAGCCAACTGATTGAGCACCCAAACTTTGTACAGCGAGCCATACTTGCTGCGATTCTTGCACACAAAGCCCATGATCTCTGCAAGCAGAAAGCAGCCATGGAAGACAGGAATATGTTGGTTTAGCTTTGAACTTACGTTCGGCATCGAGACCGCGATACATGAGCACATTGCCAAGCAGCGGCAGGCCACGTGGACCTGGCATATAGTGGAGCATATCATTGCGCCGCTTGCGCCACAGAAAATCCCACACAAGAAGGGAAGCAAGCGCCAGCAGGAACAAAGCAAAAGCGATCATTGTGCAGCCACCAGTGCAAGCGAACTGTGCGACTGAGACTGTAATCCAATATGCCACTTGGCATAGATTACAGATCCATAAGAGTCGCGTGACTAAGAGCGAAACTTTGCCCAAGAGAAGGCATAAATTGGCCTCTGTCGAATCACGCTGATTACTCGCCTTTGTTATCGCGATTTGGCTATAGTTATAACACGTAAAGCTTGCCGCTGTTTAGATCTATAAGAAAAGCTGCAAACTGCACAGCCGAACATCAGCTTCGCTGACTAAAAGAATGCCATTCTGAGTCAGTTATCTGTTGGCTGTCAGTTGTAGAGTTAAGCAAACCATAGACTAAGTTGCAACTAGAACCACACACACAATGTCTGCCCCATCAATGTACATCAATGGAAATGTAAACAAAAGTCCAATCGGTCAGGCGACATTCTCACCGCTCGCTCTCTCTCTCTCTCTCTGGAGCGTGGAAAGCGTCAATGTAGATGTCGTCGAACCTGTTGTGTGGCGCACAGCATCCAACCGATTAGAACTCCGTTGCGCTCAGACATTGCATTCAAGAGAGAGAGAGAGAGAGAGAATCAGTTCTTAAGAGCAGGAACCAGCCAAGGGAAACCTTGGCAGATCTGCTCTTATTCTGCACTGACTCTCGCCCAGATCCGACTCCCACTCCCACTCCCACTGCAGTTTGCAGTTTGCAGTGCAATAACTATTTTGTTATCCATTTACGTTGACGATTGTGTTGGAGATTAGCTCCAAAAAGCGCTGTCTCAGCATGACTGGCATGACGCCCCAAACAAGATAAGAATTTGAGCAGCAGAAAGCAGCCAAAAGGCAGAGCATTCTGCCGATCTTATCAGAGATCAAGGGCAGATAAAGATCTGCCCAGACTGTTATCCAGTGAACAGATTGAATTTAGAAGAGTTCTAGTCTGCCGATACGGGCCAAAGGCCTTGAGTCATGCTGGGGTTGCTTCGAGATCCCCAGATCCCAAGCGAGGCAGGGGTGGGCTCTATTCACTGATAACCCATAAGAAGAGCTAAATGAGACACTGTCAAGGCAAAGGCTTGGGCCATCTGCAGGCCCATTGTTGAACTCGCAACCGCAAGGCGATGGTTAGTGTAGTGGCCGCTGATTACGGCTGCCCCGCTTATCGCAGCCCAAAATTGGCTACAAAACAGCCACACCAGCGAGCGTGGCCAAACAGTGTGTCCGTGGACCGTGGACCGTGAACGTGTTGGATAGAAAATGTTTGTGGAGTTGCTGGTGCTGCTGTTGACGGTGGCCGTCGTCTGGGACTATCTGGTGGGTCGGAAACACAGCAAATACTTTGATAAGGCCGGCATCAAGGGGCCCTTCAGATGGCCCGTCGTGGGCAATGCTCCAATGATGCTTAAGGAGACGCCCAAAAGTAGGCAACGCACAAGAACGAAGCAATCCTTTGGCTGCGAATCAGCGAATCATTCTCCTCTCCCTTGCAGCCGTGTTCGACTTGCAGTGGCGCCTGATCCAGACACATGGCAAGAACATACGCTTCCAGATCCTCCAAGATCGCGGCTTGATGACAGCGGACCCGAAGATGATCGAGGCGATCATGAGCAGCCAGCAGACGATACAGAAGAATAACTTATACGGCCTGCTGGTCAACTGGCTGGGCGACGGTTTGCTGCTGAGCAAGGGCAAGAAATGGTTCCGCAGGCGCAAGATTATCACGCCGGCGTTTCACTTTAAGATACTCGAACAGTTCGTGGAGGTCTTTGATCAGCAGAGCGCCATTATGGTCAAGAACTTGTACGATCGTGCGGACGGCAAGACGGTGATCAATATGTTCCCCGTTGCCTGCCTGTGCGCCCTGGACATCATCGCTGAGACGGCCATGGGCGTCAAGGTCAATGCGCAGCTGCAGCCAAACTTTCCCTACGTGCAGTCGGTGACAACGTGAGTTGCATGTCAGCTGGGATGCAGCTCGAGCTCTGACAATCTCCTCCTGCTCCTCCCCTTAGTGCCTCTGCCATGCTGGCGGAACGTTTCACCAATCCCGCCCAACGTTTGGACGTCTTCATGCGGCTCTTCTTTTCCTCTGCGTTCGCCGAGCTTAATGCGAATATAAAAACGATGCAGGACTTCACGAACGGCGTGATCAGCGAGCGACGGGATCTGCTGCAAAAGTCCATGGCCGATGGCACGTACGAGGCGTCCAATGCAGCGTCCCAGGATGATGTCGGCCAGAAGCGCCGCATGGCCCTGCTGGATGTGCTGCTGCAGTCGACCGTTGATGGTGCGCCCCTGAGCAATGAGGACATACGCGAGGAGGTGGACACGTTCATGTTCGAGGGCCATGACACCACCACCAGCAGCATTGCCTTCACCTGCTATCTGCTGGCACGCCATCCGGAGGTGCAGGCGCGCGTCTTTCAGGAGGTGCGCGATGTCCTCGGCGATGACAAGAATGCGCCCGTGAACACCCAGCAGCTGGGCGAGCTCAAGTATCTGGAGTGTGTGATCAAGGAGTCGCTGCGCCTGTTTCCCTCGGTGCCCATTATCGGACGCCACATTGTCGAGGACACCGTGCTGGGTGGGTTGCCGCGCGCTTCCTTTTTTTCTTTCACTCTTTGCTGACCTTCTTGCCTTCCTGCAGATGGCAAGCTGATACCCGGCAACACAGATGTCATGATACTGATCTACCATGCTCAACGCGATCCGGACCACTTCCCCGAGCCGCACAAGTTCGTGCCGGAACGTTTCAGCTCGGAGCGCAAGGGCGAAATCAATTCCTTCTCCTACACACCCTTCTCGGCGGGGCCACGCAACTGCATTGGCCAAAAGTTTGCCATGCTGGAGATGAAGAGCACCATTAGCAAGATGGTGCGACACTTTGAGCTGCTGCCCCAAGGCGAGGACGTGCAGCTGGTGCTGAATATCATTCTACGCTCCACCACGGGCATCAATGTGGGGATCAAACCGCGCGTCTATTGAGTGTCCTAGCGCCCAGCTGTTTGTTGCTATGACTGAAGATGGGCAGCAGTCAGCTATCGATAGCATGGCAGTGCTGTGCAATCATCGATTTCTTGTTAGTTTCTAAGCCGATTCGCATTGTAAATATTCCAATAAAAGCAAATCTTTCATCCACTTTGACTGGCTTCCATGGATTCTATTTTAGTTTCAGCCTAAAATCAATTTACAACACAAAAAAAAAGGGGGAGGGGATTGCTACTTCAAAAAGAAACTTAATCCCAGGCATAGACCTGACCGGGTGTGGGCAACTTGGTCGCCTTGGGCGGTGCAGTGCCCTCCGCTGCGAGCTGCTTTTGCTGCTCGACCAGATCGATGGGAGGATTCACCTCGCGACGTCCGTCGCGCAGGCAATAATAGTTGGCCGAGTACAGCTGCGAGGGTCCATCGGGGATCTTTGGTGGCGGCTGGGTGCGATCGGCTACACCATCCTCGAAGCGCAGTGCCTGTGTGTGCTCACGCTGCAATATAATAAATATAACGTATTAATTCCTCGCATTCGTCTTACATAACGTAACATTTGGGAGGCTTGCGGCGGCCATACTTACGCCCAGGAGAAAGGCCCGAACCCGCTGCAGCAAGGGGGCCACGTCACGGCGTACAACAGACATGCTTGTTCCGGCCAAAACAAAATGTTGAACTGTCTGAAATGAATTTACTTTGCAATTTGCAGGCGTAAAAAACTTGAGCGCACAGCTGATTGTTGTTTTGACTGAAGATGGGCAGGAGTGCGGATATCGATAGTATCGATGGCTTTGCAGTGCTGTAATATTTGCAATCATCGGTAATTGCTGGCCGCACATGGTGCACATGGTTTTTGTTTTTGTACAAATAAATATTAAAAAATGGGTGGCCAGGGAAAAATGATAAATCGCAAGCGCAAATTTGTGGGACGCAAAAGCGATGACCCAGAGTTTGATTTGGACAAGAAGCACTTCAAGGTGCTGCACGTGAATGCCAGCGAGAAGCGTTTGATCATCGTGCTGGAGGGCGCACAGCTGGAGACGGTTAAGGTGAGTGTTTCGAGTGCTTTGTGGCCATAAATTGTGTTCACTGACCACCACTACAACTACCATCCACTCCACAGGTGCACGGCACTTTTGAGCTGCTCAACTGCGACGATCATGCGGGCATTATGCGTAAAAATCAACGCGATCCTGGCTCCTGCCGCCCCGACATCACCCACCAATGCCTGTTGATGCTCTTCGACTCACCGCTGAATCGTGCCGGCCTGCTGCAAGTGTTTGTGCGCACCGAGCACAATGTGCTCATCGAGATAAACCCACAAACGCGCATTCCACGCACCTTCAAGAGGTTTGCCGGTTTGATGGTTCAGCTGCTGCACAAATTTCAGATTCGAGCCAACGACTCGTCGCGGCGTTTGATGAGCGTCATTAAGAATCCCATCACAGACCATTTGCCGGTTGGCTGCAAGAAGTACGCCATGTCCTTCTCCGGCAAGCTGGTGACCAATTGCCGCGAACTCGTGCCGCACGGCGACGAGGGCAGCGTGACCTACGATGAGCCTGTGGTGATGGTAATTGGCGCCTTTGCTCACGGCGTGCTCAAGACGGACTACACCGAGGAGCTGTTCTCCATCAGCAACTATCCGCTATCGGCGGCCATCGCCTGCTCCAAGCTGTGCAGCGCCTTCGAGGAGGTGTGGAAGGTAGTTTAGTCGCAATGATTAGTTCTTTAGTTAGTATTTAAGTTGCACTTAGTTTCTGACTGTAAAATATATGCAGCCACACAGGCCACTCTCTAACGGGAAGCAATAGCTCTAGCTCCATCCTCTTCTAGCGCGTGTCCCTCTTGAGCGTGGATAACGGCACCCCACCATGGGATGTGAACTTTCATTTTGTGGATTTTATGTAAATATGTATACATATTATGTATTTATGTATACATTTACATAATTTTTATTATTTTTTTTTTTTATAATTCTCAAATTACAAAAAAGACGCTGCATAGAAAACCTGAAGATTTGTTTTTGTTTTGAAAATTTAGTTCCTGGCATTCCTCATCCTCCACTTCTCCACGGCAAACAGATCGGAGCTCCTCCTAATCCTCTTTCCTGATTAATTTGTTTACTTTACATTTTCTTAACTAATTGCCATTAGCCCTCTTCCATTTGGTTCTGCGGGCATCCTGGGGGGGGCTGGGGGGTGCTTGGCCTCTGCCTACTTGGATCCCGGCTTCTTGCCAGTGTCGGCTGCCACCTTTTTGTCTGCCTCACGCTTGGCAGCGGCCTCCTCACGCTGCTGGCGTATGAGTGCCAGTCGGGCGAGATCTGCCTTAGCCTCGGTTGTCTTGCCGGCCGCATGAAGCTTCGCGTAGCGCTGACGCGCCTTTTGCTTCTCAATTTGCTCACGATCGCGACGTGAGAGCTCCGGGTCGGTGCTGCCGGCAGCGGCACCGGTGGATGAGGAGGTGGTCGTCGAGGAGCCACCACCATCGTCCAGCTTTAGGGTTGCGATTTTCTGTGTTGCCTTCTTGGTCACACGATTGGGATTCTCGATTTCGATGAGCGATGCCACGCCCTTTTTGGCATCTCGCGCCTCTTGCTCGGAATCATCATCGGACTCCTCCTCAGAGTCAGATTCCGATGAGCTGACCGCCGGACGCTGCTTTTGACGATGGGCTGGACGGGAGGCAGTCTTGCGGGCCGCTGGCGCCTTTGGCTTTGATGTCGCCGCACTGCCGGAGGCCTTGTTGCCGCCGGTCTCCTCGTCGCCGGAGCCGCTGCCGCTTGACTGATCGCTCTCCTCCTCGGACTCCTGCTGCAGCTCCTCGGGTGATGTAAAGTGGCGACTGCGGCCTTTGTGGTTAACGAACTTTCCTCGTGGCATGGCTGATGCTGCTGACTCTTTGTTTTTTTTTTTTTTCCTACACTCGTGTGTGTGGGTGCGTGTGGTGTGGTTTGGTCTTCTCCTTCAACCAGCAAAATGCTCAGTTTCTGCTAATTTGATACGCTCCTTCGGCCAGGTGTAGGTTTTGCCAATGATTTAGCTACTTAGTCGCTCAGACTTTTAATTTTTGCACACAGAAATTCCAAATAAAATTGACGGGACAGAAATAGTACAATCGATACTAGCGACAGCAACTATCGATTAACCATCGATGGGAGTCTTCAATTTCTAATATATGTTTTGAATGTTCCAAATTCTAGCTAGAAAAAAAGAGAAACGAAAATAATGTAACTAAATAATAATTATCAAGTGCAGCGCAGCTTTTTCTTTGCAATTGGACTTTAACTTCTCGCCAAGTGTGACCCCCCCAATATAAACTCTCACCACTAGCTGCAACTGCAGTGCACGCGTTAGTGTATTTTTACTTCTATTGTGCTGGGGTGGAATTTGCTTATTTTGTTACGTCTTTACACGCAGAAACTGCCAACCCAACGACGCGAAAACCCAATTTTATGATTATAAAATGTGCAAACTCTATGCATAGTAAAATTCAAGTGTATGCTAAGTACGGGGCCGAAATAAGAAACAAATTCCAAAAACTGGCAACAGAAGCAGCGCCATCTGACGGTCAAATGGCAATGTAAATAAAAAAAAATCTCACGCCACTCGCAAAAAATTCGTTAACAAAAACAACAACAAAACCAAAGCAAAAGCAATAAATTATAAACAATTCGAAAGGCAACAACAATTTAGATAACTCGCATATATGCACACGGAGGCCGCAAGCGACAGGGCGAACGGAAATCCCCTGCAGCCCCCGCGGGCCAACACGGAGACAAAGACAAAAACGTCATCGAATGCAGAGACGGAGGAGATCCGGCGGAAAAGGCAGGCCATGGATGACTATGACATCGATATTGATTTGAATTTTATGCAGCTGAGTCGCCAGCAGCTGCTGCAACGCTACAGCAGCGCCGTGCGCCAGCTGCGACGTCTGGCCGAGGCGCATCGAGAGGTGCGGCCGCTGTCCTTCGATAGCTACGTGCTGTTCCAGTACTTTCGGCAGCAGAATGCTGCTGCAGCTGGTGGCGGCTACCGAGGCATTGTCAGTGCAGCGCTGCTGCCGCCCCCGCAGCTAATGGCCTACCTCAAGCTGGAGGTGCTGCATCATTTATTGGATCGCCGGCGGCAAATCCTCTGCTGGTTGTTCTACCTGACGCTAGTGTCGCTGTGCGTGGCCGCCTACCGCTATGAGGCGTCAAGCAGCGGCGGTGGCGGCGGCGGTGCTGGTGCCGGCAGCGAGCGCGTCGTGCAGTCAACGGTTTATCCAGGGATGCGCATGTGGCGACGCATGACGATGCCGCTTATCCAACGCTTTCCACGACTGACCGAACTCTACGATGAGTCCTGCCTGATGGGCAATCCCTTCTTCCAAATGGAGGATCTCAGCTGCGGGCCCTGTGCCAATGTGGAGAGCGTTTGGCTCGAGAGCGATGAATACGCTCAGCCGCTGGGCCTGACCGTGGGCGGGGACAGTGTGCCATTTGCGTTCAAGAGCCAACAGGAGGCCATGGATCTGGGGGACTTCTATAATATTTATGCCAGCAATCATGTGATCTTCCAGCGGGACGCATACCGCGTGCACTCCACCAACCAAGGGGTTCACAATCTCGAGGATCTCTTCGGGCAGTTCAACAGCAGCGGCGGCAGTCCAGCACCCACCTGGACACAGCAGGCGCACAATCTGTGGCGCTGCAATCGCATGCTGCCCGCTCGCCTGCTGCGGCCTATTTTCGCGCGACCCTCGCGGCTGCCCAGCCTGGCCGTGGCTCTTGAGCGTTACATGGCCATCGATACAGCCCAAGCGCCGGCTTATACACTGCCCGAAACGGAGTGCCCCAATGTGTATGTGCACCAAGCGGTGGGCACACGCTTCATCATTTTGCGTCCCACCAGCGAGTGTCGCCATCGTTGTCGCACACTGTCCATCCGTCTCACGCAGTCATTTGTTCGTGAGTTGAACAACACTTATTTGGCTATTGCTTGCTCGCTCTAATTTGTGTCACACTAGCTCTGTTCCTCTCTCTCTCTCTCTTTCTCTCTTGCAGTCAGCTACAATTGGTTGTATTGGAAGCCGATCTCTGCGCCGGATCCCATATCGGAGACACTTTCCATCAGCTTGATTGGCTCCTACTGCTAGGAGGGGGGGCTGCCCCCTGCCAGTGTTCATCGTCCTGCGTAATCCTCAGTCCTAGGTCTATAAGCCCTTTAGCCTTAAGCCAGCATTTGCTCTTGTCCCCCCAGTGTCCCTCAGTCCAATTTGCATTTAGTCAGTCCAAAAACAGGAAAAACAGTTACGTTCATTCGTTTACTTTGCAAACAAATAAAAATATAACAAAAATTCTTTCATTTTCCACTGCTCAGCGCATCGAAGTAGGAGCCGCTCATTAAATCCGCTTTCTGAATGCCAAAAGTCTCCGCCAGCTGCTCGGCCACCGCCTGACCCTCCTCGAGTGTTTGCTCCGCGCGCAGACACACCTCGAACTCCATGAAGTAGCCCAAATCCCGCACCTCGTCCAGATGGATGCGCGTCTGTTCGTGCATGAACAAATGCCGCGTTTTGGCCAACTCGCCCTGGATGCCGTTCGTCTGGCTGAGTATTTTCTCGAGCACCGCTGGCTCGTCTATCTCCAGCTTGTTGAAGCTGGACAACTTGGGACCGGCGACATCGGGACGATTGTAGTAGACCAGCTGGGAGCGTGCCGGTGGCTGCAGGTAGCGCAGCTTCAGCCGTCCACCCAGTGGCGAATTGAAGAAGACATCCCGCTGCACGAGGAGCTCGCCTGTTGGGCTGCCAGTCAGCTGCTTGGCTATGTCCAGGCGGCGTGCAAAGTCCTCAGATCCGCCGGGTATCCTCGCCTTAATCTCCACATTTCGCTGATCTGCTGGAGGAGTCGTCGTTGTCGTTGTCGCTGTTGTTGTTGCTGCCATGCTGCTGCCGATTTTGTGTTTAACATCGATAGTTATCAGCGCCCCCCACGAACGCAACCTTGAGATCATGTTAACTGTTATCGACGTGAAATGCTTATTTCTTGGCTTAACATCGCTCTTGCGCTTAACAGCATACATGCGCTTAAAGCCTGGACAGGGATGATATACGACTGCAAACGATAACAAGTCATCCCTTTCGTAGCAGACAGCTTTTAACAGGTGTGTACTCAGAACGGAAAATCAATCCTGTAAAAGCAGCCGATGGTATTCTTGCATTTCGAAAGGAAAATATAACGACAAATAACACACACACATACTCCAAATTATAAGAAAACAAGAGAAGTGCAGATCTAGACAAATGCAAGCTAATCAACCTTAAAAACCTTGAAAATATCGATATTTGTTCGGCTCCTTGAGCTCCTTGTGCCTAACAGCACACTTTCAAACGGCATGTAAAATAGTTATCGCTGATCAACACTAAGTGTAATCACAAATTATATTGGCGCCAGTTTTTGAATATGAATTTGAAATGAGTTTAACTGCCAAATAAATGATTGTTGCTAACAAGCAAAGGATTATTATTGTCTGTTGGAGAATATAAGAGAATTTTGTAGTTTACCACGCATTTGATTGTCGTCGATTTAATGCCTTCCAAAATCCAATTACGCCGCAACGTTATCTAACCGCAGGGTTAGATAAAATTGGGTAAAAGTATGGAAAGTTTATGAATAAATATTTTCCCACCATTTTTCAATGATAAGGCAAGATCGGGTCATTATTCGCAAAAAGTGGCATACCGAAATGTACATATGTAAGCGTGTACACACGTGCACATGTGTGTATGGTTTGAAGCTTACAACACAAGCATTACCGCAAATTGATGGCCTAATGTGACATCGTTTGCAGCCAATGGATTGTTAGGTTAGGAATTAATGGTGGCCAGCAGCGCCCGCACCCACCACCACCACCTGTGCCTCATCCGCCTCCGCTGCCTGCTGCTGCCGCCACACCTACCCCCCTGCACATTCCGACAAAATGTACAGAGAAATAAACCGTACACAGATCTTTCTGTGTATATGTAAGTATGTGTGTACATACAGATGTATGTATGGGTGGGTGTTCGAACAAAAGCAATGCGAACAACAGCAAAGCAAATCAACAAAAAAAAAGCCAACAAAATTGTCCGTATGTATGCGAGAGTTCTTTGTGTGTGTGTGTGTGTGTGTGTATGTATGTCGAGACACACAACTTGAATAGTCTCCTGTCGAGGCCCCGCTTCGACGACGCGCCACGCCACGTGATGGGAAAGGTAGAGCGAAGCGAGAGGCAGCAACAGCGACGCGAGCACACACACACACACAAACACATACACTTTTTTGCCTGCTGTTGGTGTGTGAGTTAATGGCTGGAGCAGGGGCGTAGGCGGGAAGGTACTGGAACGGGACCGGGACCGGCACCGGGACCCATCTAGCCTGGCTGAGGGGTGGCATAGGCAACGGGGTTGTTGTTACTAGGGGCAGGGTGGGTGGGCAAACCGTAGTGTGTGTATGTGTGTGTGTGTATGTCTGTGGGATGGGAATGGGAATGCTGCTGAACAGGGCACCGTTCCAACTTCTTTCTCTTCGTGTCCGTTTTCGTGTTCGTGCTCGTGTTCGTGCTCCCTCCCAACTTCGTTTCCTTCCGCTCGCTTCGATTCCCATTTAACGGTTTTATTCTGTGGAGTGGCAAAATGAGAGACGGGGTGGGGTGTTTGGTCTGCCGTTAGTTTCATCTTCTGTTTGTTTTCCAGTCCAGTTCATTTACACTTTTACACTTCTCTCTTGATCCTTTTTTTTGCCGTCTCCCGCTGCTGATCGTGCCACTGCTGTGTCTTTTGCACTGTTCCAATAATGAATGTTGCCAAGGATTCATTTTGGCAGCTTCTTCCCCACGGTTCACTCTCCAAATTGCATGCCGCCGCGCTGTGGTTTCTCCTGCTTGCATGTACACACACATATTCATGCACCTCCCCCGCTCGTTTTAGCATGCACCTTCACCTTCGTTTTGTTTTTTGATTAAAATATTCAATTTCTAAATATTTTATTTACTCTTCTCCCATCACTTTATCGGCTAATCCTGGCATCTCTTGGTGGCCTTTTCTTGCTTAAGAATTTCCATCTGCTTCTTCTGCCGTCTGCTGTTTCATTCCTTTTCCCTTTCCCTTTCCTCCCTCTCCCAACGGTCTCTGCTGCTTCTCTTTCTTCCGTTGCTTCTTCTTCACTCTGGGTGCCACCAATTTTACTGTCATGGAAACCTAAATATGTATGTCCCCATGTGTACGTATGTAAAATGCGAATTGTATATCTTATGGCATGCATTATTTATGTACATCCAAACTCCTACATACTTACCTCTGTAGGTTTCCATGAATATCTATGCAACTTTTGAATGGGAAAGCAACAACGAAATGTTGTGTGTGTGTGTGTGTGTGCGCAAAGGGGGCGTGTAGTGGAAAGTGGGTACGAAAAATACGAAAATTTAATGCACTTTTCTCAAATTTCTCAAAGCGGAATCTATGCTGCGGTCGATGCTGTTAGTGTGTGTGTTTCTGCTGCGGCTGCAGTCAACGTTGGCAGCAACAGCGACAGCGACAGCGTCAGAGAGCAGAGAAACAGCAATAACATAACGGCGACGACCTTCGACTGCGCTGCATTGCTGTTGGAGCCGATACCCTTGCATCCAAGAGCATATTGGTTTTCGCAAGGTAATAGAAATGTTAATAGAAATGTATACATATAAGTGTTGGAAAAAAAAAACAAAACATAAATATCGGCACAGAACTACATATAATAATATAATATGTAATTAATTGTGTAATCGACTCTCGCTGTAATCACATTTAGTCTATTACATTCGAGCTGAAAGGGTATTAAAAGCTTCTGTCATCAAGAAAATGTTTCAGCTTCTTGTTGCTGTTGCTTTTTGGATTCGTTGGTTGTAGCTGCTTTTGCTTCTGTTGTGGCCCTCAGATATGTACTGGCCCTGTGCATATGTATGAATGTACATATATGTGCTTACTTACTGCATGTGCTAACATTTATTTAAATATGAAATAATTTGTAGGTAAAGGGGAAATCAGCATACATACTTACAGTTTTCTGTACATGTCTCCATTCCATGTACATCTTTCTCTCTCTCCTTCTCCTTCTCTTTGCCTTACCAGCGGCAACTTTAAGTTGTCTCCTTGTCTATCTCCACAACACTCCTTCTCTATCTTTCTCTTTGTGAGTAGCTTTTTTTGTTGTGAAGAGAGGGAGGGAGAGCGCGCGTAATAATTTGACCTTTTTTTTCTGCCACCAAGAAGACTGAGCTGGAGAGATCATTGCAGATTATGTACATGCATACATGCATACATACATATATGTATTTGTGCACACATCCATGCATTTTCAGATACAGGCACACAGATTTATATCTCGTATTCTCTTTTTTGTTTCAGTTTCGTTGATTTCCTTTTCATTGCTTTTATGGCTTCATTTTGGCGTTCGTTCGTTCGTTCATTCGTCTTTTGTTTCATTCTTTTTTCGGGTTTATTTTTTAATTTTTCCCAATTTTGCTTGTGCATATGTGTGTGTGTGTGTTTGTGTGTATCCAGAAGATAAATTTTGTTTGCGCTTTGTTTCTAGGCAGCAAACATTTTCCAATGGAATCGATTCAAGATGAACACATCTTGGTGGGTCTTTGGGTGCTCTCGCCCTCACAACAAGTGGAAGTGGCCCCAACCCTACTTCCCCCACCCAAGAGCCATTATTCCTCTTACAACCAAATGCATGTCGGGTGCATGACATTTTGTTTGTTTGCTCTTTCTGTCTCTGCGTTGGGGTTACGATACATAATCGCAATATCCCTTGAAAGGGTTTCGTCCTAATGCAAATTTAATGTATGTATGTATGTATGTATGTATGTATGTATCAGCTACATACATATGTACTTTTTCATCACCTTAATGCATCGCCGTTCTCTGCTGCACCAACAGCTTTTCTTTTCCACTCTCCTCCATCACACTTTTTCAGTATGCGCAGTTTTTGCTTGAAATCGTTTTATCGTTTTTCGTGGTTCAAAAAAATGAATAAATGGAAAATATGTAAAAGTCTGTACATATTTACATATGCTGATTTTATTTCTTTATTATTTATTTATGTTAAATGGCTTATGAGCAAAGAGACCAAAATCTTACCACACAGAACAAAAACAAAAAGATACGCACATAAAACACACACACATGCACCCAGGCATATGTACATACATACACATGTACATATATGTATGTAAATACATACATAAAAGCAAATGCGAAGCAACAGCATAAAGCAAAAGCGCCAAACGGCAAAGCTCAAAGCGAATACACACAGATGTACGTAAGTACATGACTATGTAGATGATAATGTACACATACATATGTATGTATGAAAACACATGAAAACCCAATTTTCATTTCACTCTTCGGTTTCGGTGCATGCGAATCGATGATACCCAAAAACGCAGGGCCAGAACGAGACGGGGTGCTGAATGATTGGTTGGATAAGTGATGGAAGCGATGGAAAACGAAATAAAAATTGTATTTCTGACTGGACCTCCGTGGTCGCCCCTTTAGATACTCAGCGCCAAGGATCACAGGAGGCTTTCTTTTCTCAACACACACACACATCTCTACCTGGCAAACTTCAAATTGTTTACATTTCAAATTGAGAAAACGAAACATGCCATTTGGCACTTTGCTGGCCAGAAAATTGCTAAGAAAAATGAACCTGCGTGCAGAAAAGCTCATGGAACGATGCCATTATTTGTCCATCCGTCTGCTGGCTGGTGGGTAACTCAAGGTTGGATTTTGCTTAAAGTCCGATAAAGGATTATGTTGTAGAGCCCTGCCTTAAGGGTGCCTCTTTAGACGCAGATGCAACACTTGGCCAAATCTGGTTAAAAATTATACATTTAAAATGATGTAAAACTAATCCTACATGCTTACAGTATGGAGG